AAGGATTTTCTTGAAAACATAGCCTGCTGCCTTACCGATGTTTGCAGCCGCGAAGATGCGAACAAAACTATTGAATTCGCAGTGAAGCTTTGCGGTGCCTCTGGCGTCCAGGTCCCTGATAAACATGCCCAGGTACCTACTGAAGTCACGTGCAAGCGTCAGCATGAAACAGGTGGTTAGGTGTCAGGTGAAACCTAGACGAGGAAGGCAATCCTATGAGGCTCTAGGTGTGTTAGGTGGAATGTATGTCACATACCCTACAGTCAAAGACATGAGCTTGGCTTAGGCAGGTTTCAATCGCAGCGGCTTGCCACTAAAATAGGACTGTTTTGCTCGTGGCCTACTCCTTCGGACTTCCAGTAGAATGTACTTGACAGCTCTATAACCACGCTTAGTCGATTGCGCTGTAGTACTCTCAAAGAGAAGAGTACCTTTATGCCCGACTGTGGAGCCCAGTTCTCTTTTAGCTGAGATACAACTTTTTGAATTTGTACATTCCTTCTTTGCCATTCTTACACTCATGTCAAGTACTATAATCATGGTCTTGGTATCTCACCCTCTGGAATTGACCTTTTGCTTTGACTAGGCAGAAATACACTTTGTTGTGAGTTACTACAGCAAAATAAGACGACTTCTGGGTGCAGTACATGCTGTACATACCTGTCTACATCAGATCTCTTCTAGTGTCAGACCAGCATTTCGGAAATGCCCTTCTGCACTCCGTTCCCTTGCACCCATGGCTTCGACACACCACTCAATGAAGGAATCAAATCATTAGTTAGGATTATCTTTATAGGATTGCCGATGCTGCTGAATAAAGTCATTTAGTTCAGCAGACAGCTCCTCAATCAGGCTCAAATCTGGTGAGTATAGCAGTAAATAGACTAGTTTAACCCCGGCTTATAAGTACATTTATTCTATCCTCTCAGAGCAGTAAAAGGAGGTATTATCTATAATAAGAACAGATTTTAGTCCTAGCTATTTTCCACCATGCTAAAGAAGCTCCTTAATAAAATCTTCAAAGACCAATGCGTCCGTGGAGCCTTGAAAAAGATAGGATAGAATAACCCTGTCTTAAGCATACACTAGAAGGATCTGATACTGCTGATCATGATAAAATTTAGTTACTTAAGAGGGTGCCATGCTAAGAGAAGACCAGCCTATTCTTCTAATGTCTATCTATTTATCACACCCAGATTCATCTACATAAATAAGGTGATACAAGCAAAACTCTGAAATAAAATAAAAGTATTCATCTTATAAATTATATTTTACTGTCTTGCTTTTTGCTTAGTAGCCTTCTTTGACTAACCTTTATATTTAAGTGCACGACTAATACTACATATCATTACTTATACTTAAAACTCATCCCATAGGAAAATTGCCATCTTCCTAAGATATAAATAGGTCTTTTTAAGTAGATGTTCACAAAGAACTTGAATCACAACTGGTGTAAGACTTCGTGGCCATCCACAGTCCACCTTTATTTGATCTTCTCTTGGGAAAATAGATATCAAGGAAATCGCATTGAAAGTAAGTAAATACAAGGGCCTGCCCAGGGACTTCTTAGGGCAGGCTGCTCCCGACGTAGCCCTCAGCAATATCAGTCTTCTTGAGTGGTCTTAAAAGCAACCCTGTCAGAGGCACGCAAGGAATAGATTATTTTATACTATAAGGCTATATGTGTTTCTCTTGCACACGGCATCGAATTAGTTCTTCATGTTGTTCTCCCATCCCAAATTACCTGCATGGACCTAGGTAATTCAAGGAAGGTCCTATAGACCGACAGAAGACCCAAATCAGGCGCCAGGTAAAATAAAGCAGGCCCATCCCGCATGGAGAAATGATGCGATATTTAGCCTAGTGGTGAAATATGGATCCATCAAGGGGAGGCAATCTGAAAAGCTTGAGACGGAACACTCCGATGCTACTTAAAGTAATAGGTGTGGGAGCTTATTTGTCGAGAAGAAATCTTGGCTGCATTAGTTCCAATGGCGACATTTTAGGATAGTATGCTCCCAACCCCTCATCCGTGCAGCCTGGATGTAACGTGGCAGTTATAACTGATCACCTGTCGAATCCTCTTCTACTCATATGAATAGTCCGTTCTGCCCTCATCTGACACGTCGTCTCTGGATAACTCAGTTCTAATACGATGGATGACAGGAATGCCTCGGCGGTCGACAAGGGCATAGAAGCAGAAGAGCTGTACAAGGGTGGATTTGAGAAGGAGGCAAAGGATGTTACGAAAGAAACTGAGGGCGCAGAATCACCGGGCTCTCAACCGGACAAAGCTGAATATGTCAAGGGACATCCCGTCATTCGAAATGGTGCGATTTCATCGCCACAGCTGCTATGCAATTGACTAACCTCAGCAGGCGCCGATGTATCCAGGTTTATTGTCTCTGTGAGAGATGACGGTGATCCTGCACTGACCTTTAGATCGATCGTCCTGGGATCTGCGTTCACTGCGCTTTCAAGCGTGATCACGATGCTTTATACTTTTAAGCCCACGCAGATGCAAGTGTCTGCAATCTTCATGCAGCGTAGGTCGATTTTCCAGCGAGCTCTGTCTACTGATTGTAACACCTGCTCTAGTACTGGTGTATGTGGTTGGCCAGGCGTGGGCTCTGTTTACTCCGCGGCCAGACAGGTTCCGGTGGAAATGGCTGCGACGCACACTCGAATTCCTGAACTTTGGACAACCCTTCGGTATTAAAGAGCATGTCGTTGCGTCTCTCATTGCTTCGTCGGGTAACAATGGTCTTTCCGGAGTGGAAGTGTACGCGGTCGAGCGCCTGTTCTACAATATCAGCGTGTCGGCGACGACCGCAGTGCTGGGAACATTCTCCATCTCACTTTGTGGCTTTGTGCTCGCTGGCATCCTTCGACCGCTGATTGTCTACCCAGCGGAAATGGTCTACTGGTCCACGCTTCCACAGGTGGTGCTGTATCAGAATCTCCATTTCGACCAGCGTGCCAACCGGGGCCGGTTGATCAAGTTTGGATGGGCTCTAGGACTTGCTGCTGTTTGGGAGCTCTTTCCTGCGTATATTATAACCTGGCTCGGGGGCTTCTCGATCTTCTGCCTGGCTTCAATGGACGCTCCTCAGCATATCCGGAAGGTCTTTTCGAAAGTGTTTGGGGGCGCGTCATCTAATGAAGGCCTGGGTCTGTTGAACTTCGGCTTCGATTGGCAGTATATCCAGAGCACCTATCTGTCATTGCCATTGAAACAGCAGCTCAACAGCTGGATCGGCTATGTGATCTTTTATCCTGTGATGCTGGGCCTCTACTATGGGAATACATGGAGCGCAAAGTCCTTCCCATTCATGTCAACCTCTCTGTTTAACAGCAACGGCAAACAATTCTCCACCACTTCCATCCTCACGGATAAAGGCACAATCGACTACGATAAGCTAAAGCAAGTGGGAATCCCGTATCTCACCTCCAGTACTGTCTGGGGCTACCTCACGCAGAATCTCGCCATCGGCGCGCTCATCACCCATGTCCTCATCTTCTACGGCAAGGACATGTACATTGCCTGGAAGCAGGCGCGCAGTCGAACACAGCCCGACCCACACTACCAGGCGATGCTCAAGTACAAGGAAGTCCCAATGTGGTGGTACCTCGCCTTGTTCGTCCTCGCCTTCTTCGCGGGCCTCATCGTGAACATCAAGGGCGAAACGACCCTCCCCGCATGGGGCTACATCGTCGCCCTCCTCCTCGGCGCATTCATCGCCCCATTCTCCTGCATCCTGTACGGGCTCTACGGCACCGGCGTCGCCACCAACCAGCTCTCGAAGATGGTCGCTGGCGCAGTCCACCCGGGCCGGCCCCTGGCAAACCTCTACTTCGCCAGCTGGTCGCACCAGGTCATCCTGCTCTCCGTGAATCTCGCCAACTGGCTCAAGGTAGGCCAGTACACCAAGATCCCGCACCGCATCATGTTCGCCACGCAGGTCTACGGCACCCTCCTCGGCGCAGGCCTCAACTACGCCGTCATGACCACCATCGTATCCAACCAGCGCGACATCCTCCTCGACCCCGCAGGAAACAGCGTCTGGAGCGGGTCAACCGTGCAGAGCCTGAACTCGCAGGCTATTACTTGGGCCCTCGCCCGAGATGTCTACGGCGTGAACGGCCGGTACCTGATCGTGCCCTTAGGTCTGCTCATCGGGCTGGCCTTGCCGGTCGTGCACTGGGGTCTTAACAGGGTCTTTCCCCGGATGCGTTCCTGGCCGTTGAATACCGCAATGATTGCTTCATTCGCCGGGGCGCAGACGTATTACGGCATCACGTCGTGGATCTGGTCGTCCATTGCAGTGGGGGTGTTCTCTCAGGTGTGGCTTCGGCGGCGGCTGCCGCGCATTTACAACGAGTATAACTACCTGATTGGGGCGGCGTTGGACGGGGGGTCGCAGATTGTGATTTTTATTCTCTCGTTTGCGGTCTTTGGGGCCAGTGGGAAGGAACATCCGTTTCCGACGTGGTGGGGGAATCCGGCTGGGAATCCGGACCATTGTATCTAGTGTTAGTGCTCTGCATGGGTTAATATCAGCTGCTAGATCCTTGGCTCGATGGCGATTTACTACAAGGCTGCCCATTAGAGACATCGAGTAGATCCACTGTTGCTTGTCGGCTGTCATAAACGCCAGTGAGCGCGAGTCGCCTAATCTGTTGATTCACTCTCCCGAAATCCAGAGTCCTTCAACATGTCCATTCTTGAAATCTTTACCTCTGCATTTTGAGGTATGCTAATTATGAAACCAACAATTGCAAATAAATAAATAAATTTCTGAGGAAACACGCCCGGGTCACATGACTGGTTACCATAGGATTGTGACGTTTGTTTTCCCCTTTCATCCTTTAGGCTCCATGTCAACATTCGCCAAATACAGCGGTTACTCAATTCCCCGTCCTCGGTATATACCTAGAGAATAGAAAAGATATTGCAAGTCTTCTATTTGGTGTTCTCTCCTCAGCCGCACTCTGGCACTATGTTGCCGCGGCGCGTTACCCAAACACGCCTGACCGGCAGGTCAATCTTGCAGACGCAGCTCAGGAAGTTCTCCTCTGCTCCGAGTATCAACAAGGGGATGAGATACACTGCGATTGCCGGTGTAGTCGCTGCGCCATGCCTTTGGTGGTTGATAACTATCCGCGACGATGCGCCAAGTCTTGCAAGCCCGCCCGCTCAGCATCTGGTCATTGAGCCGGGCCCTTCCAGAGACCAAGTGACGCGCATCATATCGCAAGACGCATATTCTTTTCGGGTCACAAGTGTTCCCGGGGTCGACAGATATGATGGCACTCAACTTGGCTCCAACGCCCTGTGCGAGGATCGGTTCACCCATGGCAAATTCCCTTCGCCATGGAATGATGGCAGCCAGTGGATGGCCTGGGCCGTTTTCGACGGGCATGCAGGTTGGCAGACAGCAGACTTGCTAGAGAAGCAACTCCTGGCCCATGTACGACACAGCTTAAGCCAGATCAAGCCAGCATTAATCGGAGGATCCGTACCTGAGGTTGTCCGGCACGCTATTACAACGGCATTTGTTAATCTAGACGATTCTATTATTAAGACAGCTATGGATGTGGCTCAGAGCAAAGAACCACTGCAAGACAAGATCAAGAAGCTGGCTCCCGCTCATGCCGGTTCATGCGCTCTGCTATCATTGTATGATCCTGTTACAAGGAACTTGCATGTGGCATGCACTGGCGATTCAAGAGCGGTTTTGGGACAAAAGGGGGCAAACGGCAAATGGGAAGCGATACCGTTGTCGGTGGATCAAACCGGCGATAACAAGGAAGAAGTTGCCCGGCTCAGCAAGGAGCACCCTGGCGAAGAAAACATTGTCAAGAATGGTCGGGTTTTGGGGATGATGGTCTCACGAGCTTTCGGCGATGGTCGGTGGAAGTGGCCTTTGGACTTTCAGCTGGATTTGACGCGGAGATTTTACGGCATGGCACCCCTGACCCCAAAGTACGACTTTCGAACTCCGCCATATTTAACCGCCGAGCCGGTTGTAACAACCATCAAGATCGATCCCAGCAAACCAACGTTCTTAGTCATGGCGACGGACGGCCTGTGGCATATGCTCTCCAATCAGCAGGCTGTCGATCTGGTGGGGGTCTGGGTGGATTCACAGGCGCTGGGGAAAAGCAGCAGGAAACCGGAGGCAACGTATGAACCATTCGATTTTGGCCAATTCTGGAAAGGAGTGAACTGGAAGTTTGTTGAGGGTAGAACAACAAACCAAGATGATAATGCTGCTGTGCACCTGGTGCGTAACTCCCTTGGCGGAAACCATCATGAGTTGATAGCAGGTCGGCTGGCCTTTAGCCCTCCATTTTCCCGACGTGTACGAGATGATATAACTGTGCAGGTTGCTTTCTTTAACTCGAATACTTGATAAATTGGGGCTCAATCTAGTAATATAGCAGCCTGCACAGATCCCCCTGCCGGATACGCCACCATCGAGACCTCCTACTCCCCCGGATTCTGCCCTGGGGACTCCACCTACGAACTGAACGGCAGACTAGTCGCTGTAGCGCTGGATCTGGTCCCAAATGTCGTAAATGCTGAAGACTCCCCTGAAGTCGGTGTCTCCGAACACACCCAAGTTATTGCAAGAGAAGAATTGGAAGATGCGAGCTCTGGAGACTGAGGCATGTTTTCTTCTACAGAATGATACCACTTCTTTGTGATGGCCTCATCAGTTCCGCAGGCTTCTATTTTCTGACGCTTGTTGGCATCGTATGAAAATTGACAACGTAATGAGCTTCCTTCTTTCTATTATTACTGGGGGCGGGTGTGTAGTATAACTAGGATACCAGTGTTTATGCTTCTGCCTTGGATAGCTTGGACTCTGGTATGGCTGAACTAGGCTTGATAGTCCATAGACATGCACCTTAATTTTCAGCCATGCATGGTGATGTGACGTGTATAACCTCACCGTCGTGTCAGATCAGTAATTTATAAATGTAGGTTCCCTGAGACTCTCCCTCTATTAGAATTATACCTAGCACAAAGGAGCTTTGAAGACGCTGACGGTCTTTCTATATCGCGGACTAATTGTCAAAGAAACATTTAGTTTTTAAAATAGTTAAATCCCAACACCCCCACCTTCCTACAGTCACACACTGCACTAAGGATATTGATCTCATGTCTGATTAAAAGCTTCGCTCATGATTCATGTGAACGATGTCTAGCACTTCTCTGCAAGTGGTTGTAGGGTTGGCCTCTCTCAGCGAGCTCCCCTCACGGATTGAAATCTGTGTCTATAAATAGTATAAGAGATTTATTCCTAGAGAATCAGAATCAGGACAATATGACTTCATTCGCAATAGAATATTCAGTAAATTACTGCAGCAACTAAGTTAATTGAGAAACTCAGGCCCTTTGAACATCAGATCTTGGCTTTCTCCGACTCTATCAAATCGGAAATAGTTAGGATAAACATCACATCCTGTCGTAGGCGATGTCCAAGAGTACTGTCTGGTACTCTTCGTCAGGCACCAATTGGGCGGCTCTCCGAATGCCAGTATACTGGCAAGGTGGTTCCATGAATGCATGTGCCCAACATTCATTTCCTCGAGCTTTTCATTGTAAACTTCTGGGATTTCATCGACGCTGATGGTTATGGACTTCCTGGCCAGGGTGAAGGAAAGGACCAGAACAAATGCGAATATCTCAGGGCGCAGGAAGTGAATCGCTGAGAAGCAGACTATATGGTCGACACCCTCGGCGAAGCGATCGCAGTTGAGGAGAGCTTGCTCCATGGACTCGATATGAACGGCCTCGTACACACCGGTGCTCCGGTAAATACCCCCCATCTTGGAGGATATGTCAAAGCCCAGCAAGTGCCTACCTCTCGCGGCGTTGCTTTCTGTCAACATACGCCCAAAAACACCTGTTCCGCAGGCGAGATCAAAAACGGTTCCGTCAAAGTCATACGCCTCTGTCAAGTTTTTGATACCTGCGGCAATGGTGCTGGAGTTGGCTTCGATCGTGTCGTATTTCCAAGCTAAGCCATTGTACGTGGCAGCAATTTTCTCCGAGACATCTTGTTGCGCTGCGTTTCGAAACAAGTGATTCGCGATGAAAATATTGATGACCGCCGGGTATCCTCCAGGAAGACTGTATGATGGGAAGGTCCTGGAATGGCCCTTCAGGCATGAACGCGGCCGGCTGGGGGTTGACCTCAATAGCGAGGACGTCGCCATTAGGCCGGGCACGAAGATCAACGTCGCAGCCCATGTTGCTGCCTTGACATCCACTGACCACGAAAGCCTCGATTGCCACTTTTTGGAGACGTCCGAACAAAACCGGGTTCTCTTTCTTTCGCAACAGCTCGATGCGAGTCTCGTCGTCGAACTTCAACTCGAAAGTGAGAAATTTCTCCCTCCTCGGTGTCTCCTTTGTGACCACCTTGAATGGAGTCAAGGCAATACAGGAGTCACCCATTTGAACGACGGTGCACGTATAATCCTCCCCGTCGATGTATTCTTGAACGACAACATCATCACTATCGCGCGTGACTGGGTTGTACGATTCAGCATAGGCTTTGTATCTTCAATGCCCATTGCCTCGGCACGTCTCACGCGAGCGTCATACAATCCCATGTTAATGCGACGGAGAGCGCCCTCGAGCTCTTCCTGGTTATGACAGTCGGACTGGTCATCAATCAGTTGGCTGGCGCATCCATTCGCCGGTTTGACAAACAGAGGGAAGCCATCGGTCCCCAGCACCAGCAGTGCACCCCGGCGTCTGGCATTCTTGTAGAAGTCGTTCTTGGTCATGGAGCGTTCCCAGCTGCGTATACCACAGGAAGGAAGATTCAGCGATTCGAAGTAGCGGCTTTCCAGGACGCCCGCGACGGGGTCGTCCAGTGTTCCCCACATAAAGTTGAAGTAAAATTCGAAGCCCTCGGCTACTAGAGCGTTGATTTCCTCTTTAGCAGTGGCTTTGTGGATGAAGCGGTATTCGAAGGTATGTTCCGTCGTGAAGAGCCCTGGCTGGGCCGGCTTGTCGTCCACATCCTGCAGCGCGGAACCTGATCCTTCGTAGGATGACTGCAAAACACAGATTCTCATTGTGATATTGTATCTTGGTGAGCAATGTTGAAGATGTCAATGGCTGAGTGGGTTTCGAGACATGGAAGTCTACAGGACTTATGTATCCATGCCCAAGCCAGATTGAGGCCTGCAAGCAACAAACATCTGAGCCGATCCTTCAGCTCCTGTGGGCCCAGGAGCGACGATCACAGTTCGTTGCAAGTGCTATACAGCAAATGATAGTTGCAGGGCTGACCCCGAGGATGTCTGAGGTTAGGCTTGCTGCACGTTGACAAATAGACGGCCCGCACTCGGTCAGCCACTGACTACATCTGGCAATCCTGAATAGATCTATCAATTTGATCGCCAATACGGCAGACTATTGATTTGTTTGTTCACTGCATGTATTACCTATTGCCACTGCTCCACAATCAATCCTCGGACTAGGATATTGAACTTCGTATAGTCAGGCCGTGGAATACCATATAGTAAGCATATCGAATCCTTATATAGTGAGATATTGGAATAATATTATATATTATGAGATATATTTTCAATATCCTTACTATATGATATCTAATATCTGACTATATCAACAGTGGGGCGCCGGCTTTCCCAATCCAGAGCCCGCCATCAACCACAAACGAACTATAAGAAGCTGATAAATCCCCCGTCCTAGTATATCTGTAATACTTACCCTTCATGCTCTCATCAACCTACACAAAAGCTACGATACCATGCCCCTAAGCCCTGAGGAAACCTCCCTCGTCGATGCAGCCAGGTCAACTATAAACAGTATCCCCATCTCAGACACCTACAGCGTCGCCAGCGCCGCGCGATCTACCGATGGACGCATCTTCACCGGCGTCAACGTCTTCCACTTTACCGGCGGGCCCTGCGCTGAGCTCGTTGTTCTGGGCTCTGCAGCAGCAGCTGGAGCCACGCGGTTAACGCATATCGTTGCAGTTGGGAACGAGAACCGAGGCATCATCAGTCCGTGCGGGCGCTGTCGGCAGACGTTGATTGATTTGCACCCAGAGGTTAAAGTGATTGTGTTGGATCAGGGGGAGCCGAGGGCCGTACCGGTGGAGGAGTTGCTGCCGTTTGCGTATCTTGTGGATTGACCGGTCGAATTCAACAGGGGATTTGTGGGGGCGATGTGAGAGCTTCGATACACGTTGTCTATTATTCTGGCCAGTCATTCATAGGGCCTTCGTGGATGCTTTGATCTGACATGACCTGAAGTGCACCTACTCTATATCATGACATAGCACGAATGTGATACCTCCGTTCTCTTTGCAGATCGTGGGATATCTCTCTTGATAGAGGTTCTATGAAACTCATATGGCGCTAACGCTTACTCCCGACCAAATAAGACAAAAATGCTCAGTATGACAGTCAATCACTGTCCCTGTCCCATGCTCAAGAAGAAGCCGGCCATACCATTCGCTCCATCCTCCCCAAACATCATCTGTCCATTGCTAACGGTCTCCACTGCCTTCTCCTTCGCGAGCGCCACCATATCCTCTTCAAACCGCCTCAGTAACGGATCCAGCGCAGCCTGGAACATCGCAACATCCTGCCCAGCGTCCCACGCCTTCACAATGCCCTTCGCCAGTAACAGCGCATCACACATCGCAAGGTTAACCCCCTCCCCAGCCCACGGACACATCAGATGCGCCGCGTCCCCGACAATCGTCACACCAGGCTTGTGCTCCCACGCAGCCCCAATAGGCAGCATATACAGCGGCTTGACATCAACCGCTCCAGCAGGCTGGTCCGCTGTCTCATCGCAGCCAACACCAGCAGCCACCAACTCCTTCACAGAGTCACCAAACCTCCCTAGCAGGGCCTCGTCACTTAGCAGCTCCTCCTTGGTTACGCTGGCCACTCGCACCCCCTCACCACCAAACCGCTCATCCGCCGTGAGGAAAACATACACGCGCGCTGAATCCCGCGGTCCACGATGCGTAGTCACCCCATGCCGGAGCCCAAGCGACAAGAAACTCCCGCGCCCAATCAGCGCTGCCAGGTGCGGATACCGCGTGCTGATGTTCTGGATGGTCAGCGTGATGCTTTGGATTCCTGCGTAGTGCGGTCGGATATCCGTTAGGAGGGCGCGGACGGCCGACCACGCGCCGTCTGCGCCGATGACAAGGTCGAATGTGTGTTTGCCATGGGGGCCGAAGTCAAGCTCTGTCTCTGTGCTAATGCCGGTAGGTCTTGCGGACAGGAGCTTGTGGCCCCATTTGATGGAGTCTTCTGGTACTTTTGTGCTGAGAATAGCAAGCAGGGCGTGGCGGGCAATCTCGGGCCGGTCACTTGGTCGGTTGTTGCCGTCGTTGTCATCGCTGTAGAGAATGTTACCGTCTTTATCTGCGACTTTTTGTGTCTCGGCGCAGTCGCCTGTGTGTTTGAGGAATTCGTCGTAGAGGCCGCATTCGCGGATGGCTGCGAGGCCGGATCCCTCGTGGAGATCCAGCATCCCGGATGGCCTTGATAGTTCTTCGTCTGTTGGTTTCTGGCGCAGCTCGAAGATGGTGAATGGCATGGTGTGTTTGTGTAGGACGGCGCCGATGGTCAGGCCAGCGGGGCCGGCGCCGATGATGGCGATTCTGGGGGACATCGTATGAAATAGATGATGAATTCAGAAGAGACTATTGTTCTTTGTAATTTATTGCCAGCTGAGCGCAGAAGACTGTCAAGCAGCCCTTTATATACCGTGGCCAAATAGTAGCCTACTCCGTCGGGGTTCAGTATCTCCCGAGCGCAGTTTGCTAAGTCCCGAGTAAGGCCTCCATGCTGCCATCTTCCCATTGATAGTGATCAAGGACTATTAGAAGCTTGCTAAGGCCTCCCATATTCCCATCCTCTCATTTATAGTATTAACGACTAGTATTAACTGCTATACTACTGATCCGTGGCCTAGCTGACTTTAAGCGAACTGCTCAGATCATCCTGTTTCGTTTGATAGGACCCAATATGGAATGTATGGAGCAATGAATTGCATTAATACTCGAGTGAATTGCTGAGCGAGCGTCTACACTGTGGAGGGCGTGCTAAGATAGACCCTATTATAATCTATTGCTCTCCTTATCAAGAAGAAAGAAATGCAAGGTGAGGTAACCGCCTGTTATAAACCCTCCTAACCTGCTTGAATTTAGTTATGCTAGGACCTGAGAGTATATTAAAGGACATTGCTCGGCCACAAGAACTGAAGAACTCATACATATTAAAAACCCCTCTAGAGAGGACTGACTATCTCTCTTCCGGGCAATCATGCCTTGGCTGATTCAACTCATTAGGACCTCCTATGTACTTAGTATAGCAATATTGAATGATGCTCTACTTGACGTCACCTTGCTTATTGACTGCTGTATCTTTGGGGAACTATAGTTGAACTAATGTAGGTTAGAACGTAGGAGGTTGTAGCAAAGCTAATGTAGTGGTCTGTTTGTTCATTGAATTTAACATGGGTTACATACCCCACCCTTCGCAGACTATAGTGGTGATGATCATATAGTAGTACCCTGTATAATTGAATTTGTATAATGATCTATATGGACAGATGTGGGCACACCAGTGGCACTGCTATTCAAAATATATATATCAAAGACCACCATACTTTGATATCCTACTATATATACTGTTGAATATCATGGCGGTAGTGGCAGGTGTACTTGTAGCAGTCACCAAAAAAATAGGATAGTTCCTTTTGTACAAACCACTATATTAGTGTTTGCTATCCACCTGAAGTTCTGGATCAACTATAGTTCGCCCAAGCATGAAAGGAACCAATCCAGCTTAGGTTCGCTGTACTGTACTTCACCAAGCTGCTGATGCCGATCACCCTCGCCGCCGACGATCAGTGATCTGTCATCTAGCCACGTCGGTAGCCATACAGAGTACAATTGCCCCGCATCTTGGAGCTGAAGTCTTGATGGAACGACAAAGATCTACCCAAGGCAACCATTGATCGCCCACGGATGTACCTCTTGCCAAGGCCAAGGTTCGCACTTCCAAGAATTGGGTGCAGATATGCATCCACACAAGATGAAGCTCCCGTCTCGAACACCTGCTCCATGCGCGAGGATAAATACGAGGTGGCATCTGCAGCGTGCCGATCCTGCCTGAGACACCTGCGGGAATTCATAACAGCAGCTTCAGCTTAACTCGCCCTGGCGATTGGATTCATGGGACGGACTGAGAAGGCAAGCCATGCAAGAAGTGGCTAGCTGAGAGCTGACAGCTGCGAGGCGATTGACATCGTCACACTCGTTGATAGTAGAATATCAAATTTGTGTCTGTCGCTCTGTTGCTGTACGCTGAGTGGATGAAGAATGGTATGTCTATTTCACCATCCATGTACTCATTAAGACCTCAATCGATACATCAAGATACATCAACTGTCAAGCAGGCATGATGCAACTGCTCGTGGTGACATCAGATACCTCCACGAGGCAAGCTGCATCCAGACGGACCAGCCCGGATTGAAACTGTATGTGACCTGTCAAATGGCGTCACACTGCATAGGATGTTCATGCAGTGTTACGTCCTACTGCGAGCTCGCCCGGTCAGTTCTTGCCATGACCACTTAGACAAGCATACAACAGAAGCTCAGCTACATCTGTTCAGGATGATCGACCAGCCGATCACTAGAACACCACTGAATTGGCCCGCGATCAGAGGTCGAGCCTGTCATAGCTGGATCATCATAGCTGATGGGCAGCAGAAAGACCTCAGGAGTGGCTGGCGGAAACGTCACAAGTCCTCAGGAGTTGAGTTGCTATGAGGTAACGGCGCTGGGGTAGGTGTCATAGCAGCTACAAGCGCACAAAGTGCAGTGCCGCGAAAGACATAAAAGGGAGCGAAACCGACGGCCAGGAAACCTCTCACTCACCACTGGTCAACACTCAATACATACTCATTCGAGCTCTAGTCTAGCAATCTATCACTATGAAGACCCTCGCTCTTACTCTGGTTACCCTGCTCCTGCAGGCTCCCCCCCTCCAGGCCAAATTGTACCCCCGAAACGTCATCACCTACGCGGTGAGCCCCGACGCACACATCACCGGCGAGGAAATCAAGTACAACGATCCAGACTGCGACCCAGGCATGCGCTGCGTCGTGACCAAGAGCTGCACTGCCCCCGGCACCGGCCCCACGCTCAGCGCGGACAAGAAGTACTTCGCCTGCTGCCTGGCCGGCCAGCGGCTGCTCGGTAGTCCCGAGACGGCGTTTGACTGCTGCGCCGACGGCCATGAGCTGGCGGGCTCGCCGCAGGCGGGCTACCACTGCTGTCCGACGGGGTATTCCTTTGACGGACAGCAGTGCAAGCAGGTATGCAAGAACGGCAAGCTGCTCGTGAACGGGCAGTGTGTTTGTCCTGAGGGAACCGTCGAGGCGGAGGATGGATCCTGCCAGACCAGGAAAAAGCCGACGCAGCAGACTTGTTCGTCCGGGCTGGAGAGTGGTGAGTACCACACCCACGTTTAGTACCGCCAGGTAAACATCCGTGCTATGCTAACTGGGTCCGGATGAAGGGAAATGCTACACCTTCACCAGCGAGAACGGCAACCGGCTCGGCCTCCGCAACGACGGGCACTACTACGCCGCGGCGGAGAGCATCAACCAGCGCTATGGCAAGTTCCAGCTCTGCAGCGATGAGAGATGCACGCCCGGTCACGCCATCAACCCCTCCGACAAGACCTACATCAAGGATCTGTACGGGGACCTCAGGTCTGGCGCCAACGCGGGTCAGTGGCTCAACAATAAGCAGAACGGGGGGCATATCGGGCGGACCTCGACGTTTGCCGAAGCGGGCCAGTTCGTGCTCAGCAAGTGGCCTTGTGGCAAGTACTGTCTTGGTGGATTTACCGCCGGCATTGGGCCTGCTTGTCCATCGGATAAACCGGCCATGACCTTCTACTCGCAGGACCCGCAGATGTGTGTGCCGTTTGAGCTGACCGAGGTGCCGTGTGATATCAAGGCGGATGCGAATAATTGTATTTGGAAGAATGGGGATCAGTGTTGCAACAAGGTTGACTGCACCTGGCGTCCTATTCGCGAGTGATTGTCCAGTGTCCCAGTCTGTTGAAGAGGTGCAGCTCGAGTCTGTATGTAGTTCGTATGTCGTGAAGTAGCTGTTTTGTCGTGATTTATAATTCCCTGATTTACTGTCAATTCATGTTGACTTTTGCACATCGAGTTTTAGTGATAGATCTCTGGCACAAGCCTAAATCCTCAGGTAAATAAGATCCGGATTCCGGGCATATGTGGAGGGAAGAGCCATTCCCTTCTTGACACGGGGACAGCATGCTCCGTGTGGCTGAAGAGTCTTGGTGCCTGTCGATCGATGCGGGGAATCCTCTATTGATCAGACCAATTGACTCTATTAATATGGAGAAATTGTCTGGAGAAAACTAGTCTGCCGATTGAAGGATTGATTAATGCCGAGGGTCCACCAGTCCATACATGCAAGTGTGGCGTCCACCATTCCGCATCTATCACAGACGACGCTCACAATTACTCAGTAATCTAGATCCTCTAGCCGACGTCAATTCGCTCTGACCATGGATAGAATGCTGAATTGAGCACGGGGAACACGGGGAACGGCCCGTCGAGGGCATCAGCCTAGCCATCGACTATTTAACTCGACTTTTTCCAAGCGTCTGATGTCCGATCAACCACAACCACAAGATGAAGTTCTCCTTCCTGACCGTGGCCAGCCTCCTTTGGGGGCAGGTGGCCCTGGCCGCCCCCAGCGCAAACAAATTCGCCAGCACGTCGGGCCTACAGTTCTCCATCGACGGCAAAACAGGCTACTTCGCCGGCTCCAACTCCTACTGGATTGGCTTCCTGACCAACAACGCGGACGTCGACCTCGTCTTCGACCATATGAGGCAGTCCGGGCTCAAGATCCTGCGCGTCTGGGGCTTCAACGACGTCAACGCGGTCCCTGGCCAGGGAACGGTGTACTACCAGCTGCACGCCAACGCGACGTCGACGATCAACACGGGTGCGGACGGTCTGCAGCGGCTGGACTATGTCGTGTCCTCGGCAGAGAAGCACGGGGTCAAGCTCATCATCAACTTTGTGAACAACTGGGATGACTACGGCGGGATGAACGCGTATGTCAAGGCGTACGGGGAGACGAACCATAATGCGTTCTACTCGAACAAGGACATCCAGAAGGCGTACAGGCGGTATATCCGCGCCGTGGTGTCGCGGTATACCAACTCCCCGGCAGTCTTTGCGTGGGAACTGGCCAACGAGCCCAGATGCAAGGGGTGCGACACCGAGGTGCTGTACCAGTGGATCAAGTCGACGAGCCAGTACATCAAGTCGTTGGATAAGCGGCATATGGTCTGCGTCGGCGATGGTATGTCCCTGCCCCTGCCCCCCTTTGGCATATAACATTCCCTCCCCTTTGGACAAGGGCAACACTGACAGATGCGTTTAGAGGGCTTCGGACCCGACCTCCTCTCCGACGGCAGCTACCCCTACACCTACGTCGAAGGCAGCAATTTCACGCGCAACCTCGCCATCCCCACCATCGACTTTGGGACCTTCCACCTGTACCCGGACAGCTGGGGCACGACCCACGAATGGGGCAATGGCTGGGTGCAATCACACGGCGCCGCGTGCAAGGCGGCCGGCAAGCCCTGTCTCTTTGAGGAGTACGGCGTTACCTCCAACCACTGCGCGCTCGAGACGCCCTGGCAGAAGACTGCGTTGAATACGACGGGGGTTTCGGCGGATTTGTACTGGCAGTATGGGGATACGCTCAGCACCGAGCAGTCGCCGAACGATGGTAATACGATTTACTATGGGACGGATGAGTTCAAGTGTATAGTGACGGATCATGTGGCGGCCATTAAGGCGAAGCAGGGGTGGGTTTAGGCTGGGGTTGACTGATATAGGATTAGAATAAGGCGTTATCAAAATGAGTGAGAATCCATTATCCTAGCGAAGCAAGCAAGCCTAGTAAATGTCAGGCACCAGCAGCCATGTATTGGAGCTGGAGGTTGCCTTCTTATCGGGATGAGATCCTGCTATCAGTCTAATCTACATAGTAAATATCCAAAAAGGTCCATCAGGATGGCCAAGTAAGTAGGTTAGAGCATAAGTTGGGAATAGCAGACGACACGACTACGGCCTTCTATGATTGCTAAAGATATTACTTTATTGCATGATATGAGTACACATTAAATAGACATGTTGAAAGAACTATATTATCCACAACAGCCAGTTTCCTCCATGGCAAGACAAGGCTATCCTCGGAGTTCCAGCCGTAACTGTGGCAACTATTCCAGACAAGCCACTGAACTCTGTAAGCTTTGCAGTACGGCGTAGACATGGCATGATCTAATCACCTATTCACCTGTCTATTCGTAGATATCCTATCGGAATTGCATCTTGGATGAGGTAATAATGATATGCCTAGTCATATATCTCCAAGATAAACATTCTATTGAAGATATATAAGATTAGACGGAAATGATAGGATCAGAGGACAGACTTTAGCCTGCAGCCACAGATTTCCGGCCCGGTGCCGGTCCGGTTAGATGCGGCGTGTGGCTTTCTACAAGGCTTGACAGCTTAATTTCATGGTTCATGGCTGACAGGAAAACTTTGAGCAAGGTTAAGAGGCAAATAGCTGACAGGTAAACTTGATACAATCCAGATCTCAGGGTGTGGAGTGCTATGTTTCTATTAGGTAAAATCTGGGGAGATGGGTCTTCCCCAGATCATATGATCTGGCTAGAATAATCCAGGGTCTACAGAGTGAGCAGAATGGTTTGGCAGATACCTTAGAGCTACCTATGTATTATTCTGCAATGTCCTGCAAGTCAGCTGCATATACTTACACCTACAGTCCCTAGAGTCTAGCTGATTATTTCCTCTATCTCATAATTATATTATCTGTTAATGTGCGCTCGCCAAAGCCACAAAGATAAATTGCCCCTGTCTCTCCTTTCCAGCCAATCAGCTAGCCAGCCACTCCCCGCATCCTTGTTCCTATCAGTTGTATACACCAATCACGGGCCGTCCTTGACTCCCGTCCCGGGGCGGGGGAGCCGGTGAGAGAGAAAGAGAGAGAGTGAGAGAGATTTATCTATCGGGATGATCTCATGTTGGTTGTCTCATGGAGGCCGTTGCACGCGCATTAGCGCCTACTACCATGATAGCTAGATACCCGACCTCGGGTCGCCAGAAAAATCCTACTTAACCTCCCGTCCCCCCCGGTCTATCCAGTCCACCTTCTGTCTACCCCCAGTTTTCTTACCTCCTCTCCTCCTCCAAAAGGATAGAATAAAAATGGCGGAAGAAAAACCCACTGCCGCTTCGGCCGACTACCACGACCCCGAGGCCAACGTCAAGCATGGCACCATCCAGGCCATGGTCGAGCGCGACCTGCTCGACGACCGATATAAGATCACCGAGCGCGGACTAAAAAACCGTCATGTACAACTGATGGCGCTGGGTGGCACCATCGGAACGGGTCTGTTTGTCGGATCGGGACAGGCGCTGGCCATCGGTGGTCCTCTGTCGCTGCTGCTCGGGTACATCTTCATTTCCGTCCTGGTGTATGCGCTGGTGACGGGAATGGCGGAGATTGGTGCGTATCTGCCGGTGCATGGAGGGACAATGAGTTACCACGGGTTCCGATATGTGTCGCGCAGCATGGGTTTCGCCATGGGCTATCTCTACTGGTATTCGCTGGGGATCCTGGTGCCGTACGAGATTGTCGCCGCGTCCATGGTCATCGATTACTGGCATCCCGGCGTACACATCGCCGTGTGGATCTCCATCATGCTGGTCATCATCGTGCTGCTGAACTTCATGCCCGTCAAGGCCTACGGCGAGACCGAGTTCTGGTTCGCTGGCATCAAGATTATTACTCTGATCGGCCTGTTGCTGATGTCCTTCATCCTCTTCTGGGGCGGCGGCCCTAACCGCCAACGCCTCGGCTTCCACTACTGGAAGGACCCCGGCCCCATGAACGAGTACTTGGTCACCGGTGACGCCGGCCGCTTCGTCGGCCTCCTGCAGTGCATCGTCAAGAGCGCCATCGCCTTCATCTTCGCCCCAGAGCTGATTATTATTTCTGCCGGCGAGATGGAGTCCCCGCGCCGCAACGTCCCCACCGCCGCCCGCCGCTACATCTACCGGCTCGTCTTCTTCTACATTTTCGGCGCCCTCGCCATCGGCGTCATCTGCTCCTCCAAGGCCAAGCAGATCATCTCCGGCAACGGCGACGCCTCGTCCTCTCCCTGGGTCGTGGCCATCCACAACGCCGGCATTCCTGCTCTCGACAGCATCGTCAACGCCGCCATTTTGACCTCGGCCTGGTCCGCCGGCAATTCGTTCCTGTACATGTCCTCCCGCTCGCTCTACTCGCTCGCCGTCTCCGGCAACGCCCCCAGCATCTTCAAGGCCTGCAACCGCTGGGGCGTCCCCTACATGGCCGTCAGCGTCTCCGCCCTGTTCTCGCTGCTCGCCTACCTCGCCGTCGGCAGCGGCTCCAACACCGTCTTCAACTGGCTCATCAACTTCACCAACACCTCCGGCTTCATCTCCTGGATCTGCTGCAGCATCGTGTACTTCCGCTTCAACAAGGCCTGCAAGGTCCAGGGCATCGAGAAGCCGTATACCTCCAAGATGCAGCCGTACGGGATGATCGTCGGCCTGGTCGGTGCGGTCTTCCTCGCGCTGATTAACGGCTTTACCGTCTTCTTCCCGTCCGAGTGGTCCGTGAGTAACTTTTTCACGGCGTATATTGGTATCCCTGCGTTCTTGGTGCTGTACTTTGGTCATCGGTTGATGTTCCGGCATGATCCGTGGGCGTGGCGGAGTGAGGAGGTGGATATGCAGACGGGGCTGGCGGAGATTATTGCCGCGGAGAAGCCGCCTCGTGTTAGGGATACGTGGTGGAAGAAGATGCTGGTTATTGTTGAGTGATAGCCTACAGATACCTACCCTTTGTACAATTGATCCAGGAATATCAGATCGTGGTCTACCTATCATTATAGCAACCATAAGCACAACTCTCTACACAGTAGGTAATATCCTCAAGTCAAAACAAAATGCCATACCTCACCCCTAAACCCGCCAATTTTGGCGCCATCCTCGCAGACATCACCATCGAACCCGTAACACTAGCGCGACAGGTCTAGCCGTACGTTTAGCCCAGGCCGTAGGGATGGTTTCGAAATGGGCTTGCTTGTTGAGCGTCTCACCACCATTGGCCCAGTTGATGGCCCGGCGCGAAGCCGGCGCCTACCTATGCAGCAATCAAGTGATGTAACACTACCTGCTCAAGTGCTGGAGCTTGAAGAAGATTCCTTAAGTACTACAGACAGAATGATCCGATGGGCCCTGAATCGAATTCCTGAATCTACGACTAGCAGCGCATACTTTGCCTGACCGAAACCTACCTACCTTTCCGCTACAGGTCTGTTTCGATCGTTCATCCTTCTCTGGATATGAACTCATTACCTGTCACAAGCGCGAAAAGGTTATCATGCAAGTCGTACGAGATTGGCAGCCAGCGATTCAAGTTCAACGCTGTTGGACACGTGCTTTTGACCTTTCTCGGTGTCTTTGGGCTACTGAGCCTGTTTTCTAATTACTGTATGTTGTATGTTTCTTACCTACGATTACATGGTGCTGACGGACCACAGACAAAATTGCAGCCCCGGAGGCATTTCAGCGTACCCCGACAATAGGCAAGGTGACGATGATATACGGGAACGATCCGATATACGAGAGAACGTTGGAGACACGCAAGGAGCACAGTCGGCGACTGGGCTACCCTCTTACGGTTCTGCGGTATCCAATACTGAACGGGACTTGGAACAAGATCGCCATTCTTCAGTCGATCCTGCTACTGGAACTGGAAAAGCCGGCCCATCAGCGATTGCAGTGGCTCTTGTAGGTACTTTGCTTTTTCAATCAAACCAGCAGACTTGAACACTGACGAGAAACACGCTGCGCAGTTGGTTCGACGGCGACACGGTGCTGATGAATCCTGACATGCCGCTGGAGACATTTCTTCCCCCGCCCGAATTGCCAAACACTCACCTGTTGGCCAGCAGGGACTGGAATGGGCTGAACAACGGGGTCTTCTTTCTTCGCGTTCATCCCTGGTCGGTGGAATTGCTTTCTGCCGCCATCGCCTACCCGGCCGTGAAGCCTAACGTCCAGCTTCCCTGGTTCGAGCAGTCCGCGATCAGCAATGTCCTGGCCGAGAACAAGTACTTTGCTCGATCGACCGTGTACTGCCCGCTCCGTTGGTTCAATGCCTACATGAGACATCCGAACGGGATAGATATCGATCCTGATACTCCGCTGCATCTCCAGGTTTACCCTGGTGATCTTCTCGTTCACTTTCCGGGAACCTCAAAAGCCAATTTGACTCGGACCCTGACGCCGTATCTTGAGATAGCAGAATCGCCTAGTAGGGACTGGGAGGTGCCACTGGAGAAGACGCGGTACATAGAGGAGACGGAAAGGTTCTGGACGGATTTGCGTTTTGGTTCGTCCGGTCACATAACCTCTATTCCTGAACCGATCGATGCAGATGCTGCGGAAGGTATCTAGTGTATAGCACAAGCTATAGGGATGGACCCCATCAGTGCACGCCGGATGTACAAGCTACCTCAAAAGCTCGACATTCGTTTTCGCCCGAGGAGCAAGGGCCGACGAGGATGTACAGATTATCAGCTCCGTGATCATGGGGGCACAGCCCATCACAGTCGAATTCGTGGCTTCTGATCTGTCCGGCTTGGAATCAAGTATCCAACCGCTACATCCGCCTCCAATTCCACAACCACGGCCTCAACACCGACTCTTCAGCCTCGCAATAATCCACTACGGTATCATCCACAAGGGGTTGGCTTAATTGCAAGCAGAGTTTCTCTACTATTACGGGTTGAAATTGGTGAGCAAGGAGAAGTCAAACTATGCCCTGTACATCCTAGAGATATGATATAGTACAGCGCTGCCAATACTGGCAGATGTCTCTGTGTCTCTGAATCCACCAGATCAGACCAAGAATATGCAGCCTGACACAGGGGATCACATACTGACAGTAACATAGCTATCTACCTAATTTGCTATAAACGGTCGAATCTCTGTCCTCCTACAAGATCATAGTGCATGGATCAGAGTGTGCAAATCATTCTGATGATGCTTTCTTCATGATACACACTGCCAAGGAAGCAGTATATCAGCCTGTGTATGTTGACAGCTGACACCCTTCTTTGAATACTATGTATTCTTCCAACAAAGACATTCTAACTTCGAACCCACTAGCTCATCTGCCGTAGACAGTCCTTATTATTCATATTCGAGTATCAATAAGCTCTGCCCTCCTTTGATCTATTGACATGTATATGCCCCGAAGCGAACAAAGAATATAGCCAATATATAAACCGCCTTGTCCTCGTCCAACACGCAAATCGACAACTAATCAATCAATCATATACTCGCAATACAATCCAGGAATCAACACCATGAAATCCGCCCTCTTGACAGCCGCAACCCTCCTCGTCCTCCTCACACCCCTCTCCATCCTGGCACATCCAAATCCAAACCCACCCACCGTCCTCCGGAAATGCATGCCCCTCCTCGGCGACATCGGCGAAGACGAAGCATGGTTCATCGCGAACCTGCAGTGAAATTATGCTGTAAGTAATCATCCATGGCTACCTTGTATTGCTACTGACTTGACTTGCCTTAGTGTCAGAAAAATGGATTTAACGGGGGTGGATGTGATACAGCTGCCTAGTAAGTTTACCTTACTCCTCAAGCAGAGGTGTGTTTTGCTGATGGATTGCAGTGAGTGTCTCTGTTCTTGAGCAGCTTGTCTGCTATTAGCTGGGTTTGAGTGCATTGATTGAGTTATTTACTTTTTGGGTATTATGGAGATCTTGTCTGATGTTAGAGATGTTGGATTTAGGTATGCTACTTACAAAGAGATGGGTACACAGCCACTGATTCTCAAGACTACTTGCCTAAAGAGGTATCAATCTTATTCTAGTTCCAGTACATCAGCATATATATGGTAATATTCAGACAAAGAATGTAAATGTCTATTGTATTGTGCTTCTACCTGTTTGAGTCTATCAGCTGATCCTCTGTTTCCTCTTACCGATGATAGAATGTGATACATTGGTTCTATGATAGGGTGCTTGTCCTTGTTAAGTTATTCAATCAATAAACTATGACACCAGAAGAAAATATACTTCCTTATAAGAGGAGCATTTCATAAGGTAACCCATAGCACAGGACATTGAGTCATAAGTCCAGGCCCTTTACTATTGTGTGTCTGGCTTGCACTTTAATCCTTTAATCTAAGTCTAAGGTTACATTGCTTGCACTTCTTAGCGACTAGACTATGGTGAGCCTGAATTATGAGTCAAAAGGAGTAGTGCTACTAGTTTGTGCAGCCGAGTCAATCCTAGAGCTAACACTATATAAGCTTGCAGTCCCCGCACTAGTCGAACGGTGAACCACCATTCATATCTCAATCAAGATGGACCTCCAAACGCAGCTGGAGCCAAGGCTTCTCTTACAAAAGGCACCCCCCGCCATCGCTCGTCATTTTCAAGACCTGATCAAATCTGAAAGCGCGGACATCTACGCAATCAACACACATCTGCTTTCCCAAGTCCACAGTGAATCCATCCCCCTGTTCGTCTACGAGATCTGGTTCCCTCTGGCGATAAAGCATGCCCCTGAACTCCTCCATGGCGCACTCACGGATCGCATCTCCTGCGGCGTCCGCAAGACGAGTATCCACGCCCTACGACGCATGTTCCACAGTAGGAAATGGAAGGACACGTGGGATTTGCTCAGTGGCGCGGCCGGCATCAAGGAGATCATTGACAATCTCGCGATGAGCGAAGTGAAACAGCTGGCGTTGGCTATTACCGCCGTTCAATACCAGCGCTCTCGCGAGGCGATCTCAACTTGCGTCGAGGAGCTGCTCCGTCTCGTGGCCGAGTCGGACCGCATCACTGGTCGGTCAATATCGCCTGCTCTTGCCCCGTTGATCCAGCTTTGCAGCGAGAGTTACGTGCTTGGGTATCTAGAGCGACAAGGCCCACGGGGCGACTTGCGTCTGGCGGAAATAGGGCGGTTTCATTTGGATCTCCTGCGGAGGATCAGCGTGGGAACGGTTGAAGTCTCGGACGGTCTGCGTGCCAGAGTCTTCTCGTCCCAGATGAAGGACCTCGTGCACTCGCAGCAGGAGTATGTACCAGTACATCTCCCCCCAGATATGCCTGCCGACGTTCACCCTGGCATGGCGTTTTGTCTCGACATGGTTCACGCCGTTTCCGCAAACGCTAGCTTCAAGAGCTGGATAGGTTCAACTATAGTGATCTCGATCAACGCTACGCTGAAACTGGCATCGAAAAAAGGGTGTTCCTTGGACCATGTACTGAAGTTCCTCAAACACGTCTTGCCGGCTTATTTTGAGCATCGTCAGCAGTGCGCAGTGAGGGATAACAGGCTGGATCCACTTCGGCACGACGTCCTCAGATGGTGGTCTATTGCTCGCGCGGAAAATATTCCCTTTAAGGGGTCCTTCTGGCTTAAGCGTCTCTTGTTCAACAATGATGCAAAGTTCTTCTCCCTCCATCTGGAACTCCTGGAAGACTTCCTACTTCAAATGTTTCGGCAGCAAGCCGATCGCAAATTTAATGTTCGCAAGGATCCCGGAGGGTTTTACAAGAATCTGAATAACTATTTGTGCGAAATCCCAGCGGACGGAAAACTAGCCTTCATAAAACTCCTTTGTCGCAAACTGCCCTCCATCGACGTGGATCTCGATACCTGGCCCCCTTCGGAGCGGGAAAGTCAACTCTTCCCATACTGGAAAAAGGAGATCCTGCAATGTCTGCCTACGTCCGATGCAAAATGGCTTTTCAGTCGCATGTTGGCGATCCACGGTTGCGAGGAGTTTCTTCCAGACCCGGACGACGCCTCTCCAAATGGAAACCGAATGACATGGACAGACCAGTGCTTGTTGAAGATAAACTGGGAGACCGACGAGGATGCCAGTGGTCAGCTCCCTGTTGCCCGTAAAGGTTTGTCCACCCCGATCCTCATATCATGCAATGCTGACAGGTGCAGTGCTGGCGGAGTCGAAACGTCGGGCAACGGGGGAACGAGACCCTCAAGAAAGACTGGCCTGGGCCAACGCCACTCTGCAATTCGCGATCGCGAGCAAGTCCTTGGATATCTTTCAAGAAACTGCGGAATGGAGCAAGCGATTCCTTCGAGATCCGGTTGTCTTTCCGGGACTATTGGATATCCTTTTCAGCAGGAAGACGGCGCCCATCCTTGCCTGCACGGGCATTCCAGTCCCGAGAAGGCCAAAAACTCTTTCCGAATTGAAAGCAGTTGTGGAGCAGAGTAACGAGATTCTCCGGTTGTACCTGGACATCGTACACCGTATTGTCCGCGAGCCGCATTACCAGAAGAGTTTGACCAGCGGCATCCCCTATCTCTTTAGCGGAATAATCTCCCAGAGAATCGAGAATTTTGAGAATTTTGATATGACTAGTCAAGGCAGTGAACTCGAACGCGTCGACGCCCTGTTTTACTCTTTGCTACCTATTATTCTCGAATTCGAGCGCCTGGCAAACAACGAGGACACCAATAAGTTCACTTGGAGCGGCTTTGGTGGTGCAGTTTCTCGGATTGACCGCCTTTATGACGTGCACGAAGCTATTCTTCCATTCCTGGATCGTATGGCGTACGAACGGAATCAGTTCTGGGTCAAGAAAAGGAGGGATGACGACCCCAAAATCATGGATCTACCCCTAGCCTTCCCGCGAGGCCTTCCCCTGGAATATCTCCTCCCTAATCTGGAACTGACCCACCTTGCCAACGAGTACCCGAACGAAATGCCATACGTGGGCTCCAGGATTGCCGAGGTTCTGGTGCCTTCGACGGGCGTGATGCTAAGCGTCGTCCCTGCCAGTGTTGCCAAGAAGAATTACCCCATTGACAGTCTTGGTTACGGAATTCAAGCCGTCATAGAAGATCCCTCGGTTGCAGTGAAGGAAAAGGAGCTCTTGCAGATCTGGAAAAGATTCTCTGATGCCTTGCGCCGCCACCCAGATCAGTTAGAGATCTTCAAGGAATGGCTTGCTGACTTGGCCCGTCAAGAACGCTTATGGAACGCGGCCGATATAATCGACCCACCGCTGCCTCCGACAAAGTATTCGGTATCCACATACTTTGAACAATGTTCTGATCTTGATAAAGTGGTTGAATGGGATCCTCTCCCGGTACCTGCTCCTGTGGACAGCCCAAGCACGGAAACTGAGCCAGAGGAGAAGAAGGTTGAACACACGATCCTCATCTGCCGCATGGATGCCGCAGATCGAATCATCAGGAACAAGATTCAACCTGAGGAGGAACCGTTGCGGATTTGGTCTAACACCGACCGCTCTGTGCCTACCCTAGAGCGTGAAGCGGTCGCGCTTTCTGCACTCCTGTACCTCGACACTCTCAATCAGCAGACGAAGCGGATCCTACGCCGTCCCTGGCCGCATAATGTCTCCTCGCCTCGATACCCGGCCATCTTCCTCGCAGACGAGTTTCTTACTGCGTTTGAAACAAGAGGCAACGCGGCCATCTATGCAGCGACAAATGCTCTGAAGAAATGCGTAAAGTTCGTTCCCGCGCAACTACTCCGTGATGTTGTCGTCTCGTTGCTGGAGATGCTCACGGAGAATTCGGACAAAAATCAACCAAACTACTCCACAATCCTATCGGTCACCATGGACTTGATCAAGCTGCTGCAAAAGACAGACCAGCCTCAACTGGCTATTGATGTTGTGCTCCGAATCCTCAAGTTTTTCCCCGACGCATCCTCGTACCATCGGCAAATGAGACTATCGACGCTGGGGGCGCGACTCCTGCCGCAGGACGCCTCCCTAATGGTCAACACGTTCGCCGGCTTCGTCTGCAACGCCGGTAAACCTAACGCCGGACAGTCCGATGGTCATGATCCATTGACAAAGAACCCGCCCTATGTTAAGATCACGACAATCAAGATGCTCGCCCAACTCCTCGCCGACACAACCTTTGTCGATATATCCACCTGTATTCACATACTTCAAGATATCTTCGATTCAAACCGCCACATTGATGTCCGCGTTGAAGTTGTAATGACAGTTCTGCGACAGTTCCACCGCGTGGCAGACGTCACGCCAGTATTTACTGTACTCGCCTCCATGGCGAGCGCCGCTTCTGGCCCGAGCGAACGAGGAGCCATATCGGAGGCCGACTGGCTTGCCGCCGAAAAAGGAGAGAAACCTCTTCCAGAAGTCGCCACCGTAAATGATCGCCCCTTGTTCGTTTGCTTCCTCAGAACAGCTTTCTGCTTACCTAAAGAATCCCGCAAAGAATATGTGCACAAGGTGCTCCTCCCGCTATTGGAAGAATCAGCTCGGCAGCACACTCGCTGGATTCGATGTTTCCTGTCACAGGTCCACCTTACTCCAGAAGAAGACAATGCCATCACGTCCCTCAGTGAGATCTGGACCTTTGATCCATCCGCCGTCTGCTCTCTCTTCGATATCTGGAGACCATATCTCCCAAAATCCTACCTTCGCCAACACAGGTGCTGGGCCCTCGCTTACATCCAGTACCCTCACGTGGAAACGATAAACAAGAAACTTTCTGCGAACAATAAGGGGTGGCAGGGCAGTGCGGAGGGAAAGCACTGGCTCACTCTAGCGCCGCACCTGCGTAACTGTAGGCCCTTCGCTGCGATAGGCAAATATATCCGTGCGGGGGTGCAAACGCAGGTGGAGGGTGGCATAACAACCTCCGACCTCGTGGACGAGTACATCTGTCGCGCGGGGACAGTGACTCGGCACCCGCTGAGATTTGATAAGAATCTCAATCGGTTCGTGGTTTCCGTAGAAACGAGTTTGGAGTCATTGACGATCTTGAAGGGAAGGATGAGGCATGTATCGGATCCTGGGCGGTATGACTTGCTGCAGGGGATGATGGAGCGGATTGTCACGGATATCCAGTCGTTGAGGACGGCGGAGTGGATGGAAGATCCATATAGGTCGCCTGCTGTCCTGCCGTCGAGCTTAGCAATCGAGATGCTGCTTCTGCCGTCGCCGACGTACAATCCTCGCACAGACCATCCGGGAATGGAGTTCGGGAGGAGACTTATGGACCTTGTGAAAAAGTTTGCCGACAATCCTGCGTTGCTGGTTGAGTTTGACGCTGTCAAGGCGCAGGTGGACGACATAAAAGAGGAGGACCTCGGGTCCTTTGCCCTTCTCTTTGGGAACGAGGGCGAGGAAGACCAGGAAACACTGTATCGGCGCTTGAAAGTAGACATTGCCCGGTGCGCTTTGAAGAGGATCAAGTCAGGGAATTTGCGGCAGAACAAACAGTTGATGGCAATGATCCGCAGGTGGAAGGCGAGCAGCAGTGAGTGGGTGAGACAGGTCGGATGGGGTTTTGATGGAACTTTCTGAGAACATGGTGCACCGGAAACATGATTCCCGCTATGAATACCAGCACCAAGAAAAGGTTATCCGCGATTCTATCGAAACAGCATAAATTCTCAACGGACCACGTAGAAGCCGTTCATAGTAATATGTCGGTCCCGCATCGCCGCTGTAGGAGATCTCACTCCGAGCCAATGCAGTGGGACATGTTCAACGACCTTCTGGCCACGGGCCCGTATATTTTCAACTCCCTCTTTGGCACGGCCAATAACTCCTGCTTCTCTTCGACTGTCCGGTCCCCAAGCTGGATACTCCAGCACATTCTGGGCGTATGCCGCGTCGCACGCATCCGCCAACATGGCCGCTTCAGCAGCGGCATTTCGCGCTTCCCGCAATTCCTCCTCACTCGTTCCGCGGGGTGGCGGCATATCAGGTCGAAGGAAACCAAGTACACGTACCTCGACCCGGGATTGAGACGGGAGTTGGACATCCTCGAGGAAGCGAAGGGTGGTGACTCGTTTCATTACCTGGGACATGTTCACACGGGATTGCTGAGAGGCATCCAGATTGCGGATGGCAAGAATGGCCTGGTACCATTGACAGCCCGAGGATTCGCTAGACTCATTGGCGGCTAGAAGTCGTGCCCAGCCGAAGAAGAAACCATGTAGCCGGTCCAAAATCAGATCGGGAACCTTACTGAGTCGCATCCGTTGCATGTCATAGAACCCTTCTCCTTGAATGGTTTCAGCTCGCGCTTTGAAGCTCATGGGGTATGGCGGACTCGGTCCTGTCTCCAAAGAGATCGATTCCTGTTGACCGCAGGCCATAGCTGCCGCAGGGCCCTGATTACTGTCGCCATCGCTTGATCGCATCGACGCGCCAATTCCGCATGCTGTCTCAGTAGCAGTCTGTGTGACCCAGGAGGGCTTAAACGGTTGAACCTTCGCTTGTAAGAGCGACGTGGCGGGGTTCATGACGGTCTGCGCCGCTGTCTGCGCGTATAGCCCCAGCAGCATCGCACCCACCTCCAACGGTAGGGTAGCCAAGCTAGCGCCACGAATCGAGCTCGGAGCGAGCGAGGTGGAAAGGATGCGAAACACTGGACTCGTACAAAGAACCTTTTTCCTCGGCCCTTGACACAGTACAACCTGAAAGTACCCGTCGCCGGCCTCAGCAGGGATCCGTGCGACGGCCGTCTCGCGCAGGCGATGTGTGTCGCGCACACGCGACGGAGCCTTTTTCAGAAACTTGGCAATGTCACGCTGCCATGCCCGCTCGTCGTTTGGCTCTACTTGGTCGGAGCGCAAGGCCAGAGTGGGTGTGATGTCCAGCCAGTCATCCGTCAGTTGGAACAGAGCCTTGGCGCGCATCCCCGTTTTTCCTGTCCAGCCCTTGTTCTGGAGCCATAAGGAACGATCAGGAGGTACAGGGGCGTCAGAAAAGATAGAGATCGTGACAGATGTAGTACTGCCCCGATAGAATACCACGCCGGGTGAGTGGCGTAATATGGTAAAATGCTTATTGGACTCTGCAGGACGGCTGAGGAGTCCACCCAGAAAATGCCGGGCTTCGCCAAATGCTTTTTGCACAGTTACTGAAGCCGACGACTGAGTCGTTCTGGGTTCCTCCGTTGCAGCGCGCTGGACTGAGGTGGAAGTCCAAGCATCGCCATTGAAGCTCCTCTCGCAGCGACCAGAATAGGGGTCAGCAATAGTGTTAGCGGATGCTTTGGACCTCAACGGTGGGCGCGGAGGCATTGGAGGTGAAATATTCGCCGACGGGACCGTCGTTACACCCCTGATGGTCGGACTCGGCGGTTGTGATGAACATCTCTCGCCATCATTTTCATAGCTTTGATGGAGATGGGGATTGGAGACCGGCTTTCGTCGAATACGGAACTGAGGATCCGGTGGATGCAGAAATAATTCGTCAGCGGGAGTCATTGTGTTAAAGTATAAGAGATATGTAGTAGTTAATTTGATATAGAAGCAAAATCATGTTGATCGATCGATGATGGTTGGATCTGGTAGTCCCGTTGAATCATTTGGAAGAACAAGGTGGATGAAGCCCTGCCGACGGACGAGGGATGCAGCGGATTGGATAAGCATTGCTTAGTAAGCCAATGTTGACAGATAGTAACTAACTATCTTATACATGACCCTATCTATCGATGAAGTTGATGAACATCCAGCAATGCAAAGACATTTCATAGCGTAAACAGTTGATCAGGAACAAAGTAATACATTGGTTTCTACCATCCATTCGGGCAAGACCCTTATCAAGTTTGAGTAGACTGCAAAGTCTTGAAACCTCTATTCACCGGCAACTCTGGAGCGGTCCGATTTTCCCTGATGTTTGTAGTCTCGGGATTTGTGGATATTGAGCTATGCAACTGATCTATACGGAGTTCAATCTGTTTAGCAAGCGGGTGCTCCCTGGTCAGACGTGTTTCGGTGTGCTCAAAGGCCACCCGATAGGCGTCCAAGGCTTCCCGAACTTGGTTCTTCTTTTCGTATAGTTGACCAAGTTTCCACATTCCGAAAATGTAGTCGAAGTGTTCCGAGCCGCGGGTTACTTTTACTTTCTGGAGCATGCTCAGGGAGAGTTTCTCGGCCTCCTCCAGGCGACCTTGCCGTGCATACACTCGTGCGAGCTCTCCGCATCCCATAAGGACTCCGAGATGATCTTCACTGAGACTGCGCTTGCCTGCCGCGATTCCATCCTCCAGCATTCTTTCTGCTTGGTCGAGTAGCCCTAGCTCTGTGTATATCTTTGAAAGATAGCAAAGCGCCCATAAGGTGTATGGATGCTCTTTGCCGAGCTTCTTTTGACGCAATTTGTACACCCGGCTCATCATTTCTTTTGCCTGTTCGAGCTTCCCTAGATCCAATAAAGCCATAGCCAAGTTGCTCATAGTTGTCAGGGTATCTATGTCGTTATCTTCAGCATCTCTTTGCCGAACTCTTAATACCCGTTCGTGCACGGCCCTACTTTCATCGTATCGTTGCCAGGATCCCAACGTCACCCCAAGATTGTCCATCGCAGCCAATGTATCTCTGTCTTCAGGGCCCAATGTGTCAATCATCTTTTTGGTAGTTTCCTCCAGCAGCTGTAAAGACTCAAGATACTGGCCATTCAACCAGAATGATTGACCCAACGTTGCCATAGCTTTCAGGGTATCACGGTGAGAGCTGCCGAGCCATTTTAGTCGGACTTCGACGACCCGTTTCTGTAATGCGATGCCCTGTTCCAGTTTTCCAAGGCCCCACAGGACTCCGGCTAAACCCATCATCGCCACTTGTGTTGTTGGGTTGTCGTATCCCAAAGCCTGTACCGTCAGGTCCTTGACCATTGTGATATAGCGAGCAGCGTCTGCGAAGCGACCGCACAAAGCGTATACATAGCCACATCTTGCAGCCGTCTCTGCTTTGTCCTTCAAATTGAGAAAGTGTGTCGCCATGATTAGTTTCGCTACCTGAATTCCAAGACGTCCAAACGGAATACAGAATCTCTCGATCTCCACCGGACATGCGGCAAGACATTCGTCAAGGTGAGGCAAAATATCTTTTCCGAGATCTGTGTCCAGTCCTTTGTGGTCGTCCGATGGTAGCACAATCGCCTCAACCAGGGTATTTAAAGCGACCAGGGCCCAGATTTTTCTTTCCTTTGGATCAATGCGATCCCTGGCCCAGGTATATATAAGGGGGTGCAACCGGAAGCTCTTGAGGTCTTCGTCATAGCTGATGAGGGAGAGGGTGTATAGCTCACACAGAACTACTCTCAGATAATAGATGTCTGTATCCTCACTGGCTCGTTTGAGAAAATGAGGAAATGGACGGGGAGCTTGGAGGCGACTGATCAATGAGGATGGGGCTTGGGCTGCCCGCCGGTTTCTCATAGCACTTTCAAATATCTTAATACGAATGTTGTCGAAGTGGAAAAAGCTGACAATATTGAGAATCTCGATAGCATCCTGACTCGGGCTAGTCTGCTTCTTATGCAGATGTTCGAATGAAAGGTCGAAGGCGGAGTAAATATCTTCTCTGGCTCTGCTGGAGGCAATAGAAGGTTTTTGTTTGCGCTTCTTTCGGTAGTACTGGTAGAAAGCGAGATAGTCTTCTATGTTGCAAAGTTTGCGAGATATTGCAGACCCGGCCTGCTTTATGGCGAGTGCCAAATATCCCAAGATCTTAGCAATCTCCTTGCCTGTCGTCTCTGTCGACTTATCCCATGGGGGTGAGATTTCTGCCGAATTCAGGAGTAGATAGAGTGCTTCTTCCTCTCCAAGCCGTCCAATCTCTACGCTGCCTACATTCCCATACCGCTGAATCTCCCGGTTCCTCGTGGTCACGAGGATGTGCCCTCGATGTCCGGGAGGAAACAAGCTGGGAAGGTGAAGGTCGGGGCTATCTGCGTTATCGATGATGAGCAACCAGGGCTCGCGAGCCTGTGAGAGGTAATGTTTCCCAGCGCTTTCCGTGCTTGCCAAAGCCCCTATCTTGCCTATTTCAGCATAAGATTTGGCTGCAAGGGCCTCGGATGTCGCGTCAATTGTAAAGACGCCCCAGTAACTACATACAAAGTCACTCAAATGGAAAGACGGAGATAGGGATTTATGGGACAGTCACTTACCTTTCACGGTTGTCAGAAGCGAAATTTGTGCACAACTGACTTTTCCCCGAGCCTGCTATGCCATGTACGACAAAGCGTCTTTGGCTCTGTCTAATGAACTCGGTTTCTGGTAGAAGAAGTGCCTGTCGAATCTGTTCCCTGATCTCTTTCCTCCCAATGTAGTTTACAGAAGGAAGCAAGGGCGTATAAAGGTGGTTATTTCGCGCTCCCTGTTTGGAAAAGTCCTTTATAACATGTTCTGCGAGCTTGTCGGGCAGGCTGAAGCGAAAACCCGCTATCTCATGGGCTTCATTAAGCCTAGCTCGAGCCAGTGCATCACTGGCCTTTTCCCAGCGATCATTAATCACACAGGGTGCGTTCAAGCAGTACCTCTTCAGCGTCGCAAGCACTGTAGAGTAAGACGGACTCCATTCTAACAGCTTGACCATTCTTGAGTGAGTTGCACCGACGATTGCACATTTTGGACTCTCGTAGATAGCCGGAGCGGCGGAGGCCGGTTCAACCAGGAAATCATGATAGCCTCCAAAATCGGTCGGCATACCTTCCCAGAAAAAGGTAGTATAGAACTTTTTCATCAAAGGGGCAAATTGTTCAGTAATGGATTCCAGGCTCTGAAGCTTCTTCGGGGGTGACGATTGTGAACACCCAGCTCGTTGAGCGCGGCCATCTCCGGCCCCTAAGGATTCTAGAACGAGCCAGTTGGCCAGGTTAATATTAATATGCGGGGTTCTAAAGAACAAGATTGCAAACGTCGAAATGAAAATGTCATTCAGATGAGCGACCAGGGGAGACGTTGAACTTGCAGAGTGAGCGAGTGCTTTCTTGACAATTACACCTCCTAGTCCATGGCAGACGAAGATTATTGGCCGGGTTCGACAATCCCCCAAGCTCCTGTCTGCTTCAAGATCCGCAACTAGGGTGGTCCCAAGGCTTTGGACTTTGTCTACAAAGCCGTGCCCGTCAAAAAGGCTGGGGGAGGATTCGTATCCGAAGGACAGAACTCGTGCCTGGGGTATGTGCTTCGGGATCAAGTCTTTTAGCCAGAGCGTCCCGGTCTCGGGAGCACTCCAGGCGGTTATTGAGTCTTCATTCAATCCGTGGACGGCGACGATACTAACGACAAGATTGTTAGCTGTTCTGGCCAGGCCAAGGGCTGAAATCGTCTCTGCAAGGGAAGCGCATACTCGACCGCATTCTTCCATTCAGCTTCCGAGTTGGTTTCGTGGGCTGGGCTCAGTTCACGCAGGTGAAGAATTCCCAAGGACACAAGGGTCATTTTGCCATGAAAACAGAGCCATATGAACTCTGGATGGATAGAAAGACAAGCAACAGGTATACATGTAATCATGTACCATCAGATTACAATCATACATCCCAGGCCACATGGATATGTCGTGTGAGAACATGTCTTAGGCTTTCATGGGATTTCCACTAATGCAATGCTATCAGGTTGCAGACTTGCAGTCTAGCAATGTCTCAGAAATGTTTCGGGACCTTGATGAGGTTTTGAGCCACTCCTCAATATAGTAAGGTGGAGAACCTCAGTAAGGTCTAGGGAGGGCCGTTAGGGCGATCAGGGAGTAGGGAGATATGCCATACACGATGGAGATAACAAATTTCCTTATCCTTTTTACCTATTATGAGCACATGGAAGCAAATACATAAGTGCTTGCGGGCCGTAATACAAATCCTGTCTAAGTTACTCTGCGGCGCAGCGATTTCAGCCTTGCAGCGAAATACTTCCAGCTACCTTATGATTGGATTAAACCGTGAGGTTTCGGAACATCACATCCGTTAATGAAGATGTTTGCATCCTATCAATCAAAGAAAGGTCACACCATAGAAAACGTGCTTATGAGAGCAAATCTGTAAGCACTCGCAGGTGTAAGGCACCATCTGCCTGCGTCCCCGGAGGCTCCTGGTTATAGCACCCAATCCATAATGAATGTTAATTTAAGTGGCGTGAACCCACCACCCACCAACCTTCCCCCTCAACTGAACAGATAAGCATACTATTGTTCCGGGTATCCCCAGGAGAGTGAGTAGCTATGGACATGTCACAGAGAATGCTTGGGGTTCAGCAGCTTTACTGCCCAAGTGATGGAACGGCAGAGGTAGAGTAAGTCATAATACTTTCCTTTTCTACCATTGGGATAAATCTGACAATTCTCATCACGAAGTATTGTTGCGGTGCACGGGCTAAACGGTCATGCCGTCGAGACCTGGACGGCTCGACCAGAAAACGTATGCTGGCTAAGTCACCCAGACTTCTTGCCAAAATATGTTCCGAACGCACGAGTCCTCTCCTGGGGCTATAACGCAAACGTGTCGTCCATCACGGGCCCAACAAGTGCCAATGGAATCTTGGGACATGCTCAGACTCTTGTATCTGACCTAGAAGCTGATCGAGACGTGAGTGTTCTTTGCTTGAATTTTGATTAATGGTAACCGTCGCTAGTTGAAGGAGGCTACTTCGAGACCCATAATTTTCATATGCCACTCCCTTGGGGGAATTATAGTCAAGAGAGTACGCTGAAGGCATACCATACCCCGAATGACTGTCCCTACCTGACGAGAACTGAGTTGCAGGCCATATCTTATTCCGCCAGCCGGAAGAGCCCCAGGTCCGCCCACATTCAATCGATTTGTACTAGCACTTACGGGATCCTCTTTTTCGGAACGCCACACCACGGGTCCAGCAAAGCTCGACTTCTTGCAAATCTTCAGAAGATTGCCCAGCTTGCGATACCAAAGAAAGTCGCAAACTTTGAGACCCGTCTTGTAAAGGCGCTGGAGGAGCAATCCGAAATCCTTCAGAATATTACCGACCAGTTTGCGCCTCTCATGACGGAGTTTCGCATCTATTTCTTCTGGGAAGAGGAGCAGACGGATCTGAAGTACACCAAGGATATGATTGTGGAGGAAGCGAGTGCCGCGCCGATACTTGACAATACTGAAAGATGCGGCATTGCTGCAGATCACAGGGGAATGTGCAAGTTCAATCATCCCAGCCTGCAAGGCTTCCGAACTGCGATTTCCGCCATCCGTCGTTACGCTCGGGAGGCACCCGAAGCCATTCGTACCAGACACAAAAGGGCGTTGGCTGCACTTCACGAAAGCCAAGTGTATCAGGCCACGGATCTTCTGCGAACCATTCGGCCCGCAGATACACACTACGATTTCAGGAGGACCATTGAGCTCCCTTCTTCACGAGGTGCACGCGATGCTTTCCTTACGAATACGGGGTACCAACCAACTCTAGGACCTTGTGAGCGTAGTAGTGAAATAGAAGAATAGAAGAATAGTAGCGGCACGGCTACATATATTCTGCGCTGCTCCCCCGAAGCCTGGTATTCTTTTAAAACGTCTCCGCATATCTACGTAGTATATGTCTACTTTGCGATCTCAGTTTGGTATGTGCCTTGTATTACCTCTATGCTGGTAAGGAACTGTATCTGTTGGCCGTTTGACAAAGGGCGAGATCATCCAGCATTCTCTGTTTGTCTCCGTGTTGCAAACTATATGCGGGATATTGTACCGTCAGTCCGCAGCGCAGAGTCGATTGAATCTAGAACACCAGAGGCTCAGGAACTCTTCGCCTGACCCGAAACCGCCAAGTTACCCGGCCAAACGGAGTAGCTAAGTGGTCAGGACTCAGGGGGATGAGACAATCAGAGTGCTTCTATTGGTATGGAACACGACCGACGGAGACGGTACGGGCTGGGCCGGTGCATCACTAGCATGACGCACTTAGATTTAATAGGGGAAGGAAGGTGTCGGTGGTTTGGGGGAGGTTTGGGGGGAGAGGGAAAGGAGGCTAAGTCATGTACCAAATAAGCGGGTTGACTGTTCTCCTCCCGGCTATCTGCAGTAGAGCAAGAACAAAGATCATTCCAGGTATCACCGTCATTAATCGCCGGTCTCTTGGTAACTAAAACTGGGAGGGTCTCTCGGACTTGTTCCTTCCAAGGGCAAACATCCTGGAAGCTATTCCTTCCAGCAGTAATGAATACCATTAGAAAAACAAGTCTGAACAGTAGAGATTCTGTCGAGGTGTCTACAAAGATATGACTTCTCAATATATACTGTACAGAGTCATAATTACCAATGCAAGGGATGCAACATGCTGCTTGACCCATAGGAATGCCTCCTCGCGAAATCATCATGCCAAGGCAGCACCGTGTTAGTAGGAATGGATTTGCACCCTACAACCATCGGCACTCGAAAGAACAAGAGTGAGGCGCTGCCTTTCGCTTCCAACAGGCTTGATCGGCTCCCCCTTTGGCAGGATTATTGATGAAAAGGCCTGCAATAGCCTCACGACCGTGTAAGAGACTTCCATCAGGGCGAAATCCTCCCCGAGGCACTGCCGCGGACCTCCGTTGAAGGGAAAATATGCCCACCCGATATGATCCAACTCGCCAGTTTCCCATCTCTCAGGACGGAAGCAGTCTGCGTCAGGACCATAGATATTCTTTTTGCGTGAATTCACATATTGAGAAAAGACAACAAGCTCCCCTTTCCTGACTAGTATAGGACGATCTGCATCAGGGCCACCGCCCGTAGGTAGAATAGTTGTCCGAATCGCTTCGCGGTTATTCAGTGGAACGGGAGGGTAAAGACGAAGGCCTCACCTCCTTAGTCACATGAGATAAAAATTGAAGGGAAGGGATACTTACTTTCTTTGATGACGCAGGAGAGATATGGCATCTTTCTGATTTGCTCCTTCGTTGGATGCACAGAGTCCCCCATCACCGAKGCTATCTCCTGTCGCAGGCGAACCATTACCGCCTCATGACGAACGAGTAACCGGCTGTTCACTCGCAGTTAATGACAGCTCGTTGAGATTCCTCGACTATCGGCCACATACAATGTCCACGAAAGGCAACAGGCTGTGGTATCCCTTCCTGCTAAAAGCACATTGAGTAGTTGATCGCGAAGATCTTGCTTGCTGGCAGACTCCTGTGCTACCTGCTTGATAAAGCTGTAGGTTTTATCATCCAGGCCGTCGCTGTTTTGTAAGTCCAGCTGATCGATATACCGCTCAACAAATCGGTGAACGTCCGCACAAGCTTTTCGGAATTCTGGTGGGTTGTAGAGGAAGTGCCAAGGTGCGATGCGAAATCGCTTTGCTAGACCTTCCTGGGCGATATTAAAGCTCTCGGCAAAGCGCCGGTTATCAGCGTCCTGATCAATACCAGCCTTTAGGCTGTATACCGATCTTCCGAATAGAAGCGCTGTAGCTATGTCGAGGGTCAGGTTAAAGAACAATGGTTGAAGATCGACGACTCCATCCGATGGTAGGCGAGCTACCATGTTGTCAACATGCTCGTGGAAATGTTCGAGATTGCGGCTCTGGACTCGAGAAAATTGTTTGCGTAAAAGATCTCGAGAATGTCTCCAGGCAGGACCTTCTTGAGTGAAAATGCCATTGCCCAGAAGTGGAGCAAATATAGCTGCTCTTGCACCAAAGCCATAGTCTAAATGGGCGTGAGAAAGGTAGAATTGATGCAGGTAGCCATGCGCACCTTTGAAATTGGTAGAAAGAATCGCCTCCACATTCTCTGGCCGCAAAATGTGAAAGGCTCTCGGGCCGAATAAAAAGTATTGAGTGATGCTGTTGCCGGGCTCATACTTCTCTGCTATGGAGCACAAGAATGCGAGGAGATGGCCCTCCGCATTTGACGTCCACAGTTCCTTGATCCGATCGAGGCCCAGGGGCCATTTCTTCGTCAGCTCTGGAGGAAGCTCGCAGCCGTGTTGATGCCCCAGTGCTTTGTCCTGTTGCTGTCAGGTGAATCATCGCAAAGCCTGTTCACATCTAGCCTACTTGCCTGGAAATATATATACCGTGCTATTACAAGGTGATGAAATACATGCCCAATAACCACCAAGATTAAGCAGTAAACGATGGTTTCTAAAGCCATTTTTTAAGGTGACCATGAACTGCCGCAGGTCTAAGATACAGGAGGTATGGGATCTTTATGCCTTTAAATGGGCTATGATTCATTGTGTATGAATAAGTGCTGCAATTTACACTAAAGAGTAATAATAACAGGACTCAGAGTGTGACAAGGGGAGCTCTGATGGAAATGGGATAGGTTCATCACCCATGTCAATCATGAGTCCATGGTTGGATAGGGGGTGGTATGCAAAATGACAGACAAAATACCTATCCAGGTAAGGTAATCCTTTGGTCAGGACTCAGGTGAGTAGAAGATTTAAATATTCTGATTGCTTGGTTGCAATTATTCTCATCCTCTGATTAGCTAGAGGGACTACCCACTTTTATCATGTGTTCCAATGTTTGTCTGCGTAAGGTAAGGTATTTGTCATTCTGTCTTTTAATCATCCTGCTGTTCCGTGCCCCTTAGCTAGAAAAGGGGGAACCTGCATATCTAGTGGCTCTTAGTACTTAGTAGCATACCATTGGGGGCATATGTTTAAGACCTGAATGAGCTTCTCTACTGCTTTGTGATATTATTAATAAAATAAAAAATAAAAAGAAGATTCGTTGTCTTACACTGTGAACCAGCTGAACCACAATTATGATAGCAACATGACGACTGGCGAGTAAGTTCTTATAGACAACCCTCGGAGCCCAGCTTCAGCCATCTATTCCAGGTGCCGCCATGTTCCAGACGTAAGCAAAGGATGCCACAGATCTGATTGTGCTCCACATTTGAAATCTTCTTGATGGCACCTGCAAGGGTAGCTTGTTGGGCTGTTGTACCATTGTGCGCCCTGTAGAGAAACAAGAGCATCTCTCGCCTTGAAAGAGACGCTCATAGTTACGTCTGAGCTGGTGTGATAGAGCGCTGATCTGACCAGCAAGACCTTGGCATACTCCGACCAGGAAATTACCGATTTGTAATGTACAATGAGACTGCATCCAAGGACAGCTAGACATAAAGTAATAGTAGTCATTTCCATCGCGGGCCTGGGATAGGTAGAATAGCGAGGATTTTCTTGCGTAGATAACATTACGAGCCTAAATCCTAGCATGCCTTATGTCACTCAGTCTGGCTAGGTATCTTATCCATAAGGTCATATTATTTGACGTAGACATAGGTTGATACATAGACGTCTCAGCAATACTTTCATCTCATGTAGATTGCCAAGTCCCCGAGACAATCGTCCATGTCAACCACCGGAGCCTGTACGTAGTTACTGACCATCTTGCGTACGCGCGAGGAATCCGGATCGGTGGTGTAGGGGCTGGAGCTGTCAGTCGTTGTTACTACGTTCGGCAGAAAGAGCGGTTGAACATACCAAACCCAGGTTACCTGACCATTCTTCACACGCTGTTCCCACTCTGCAACATCTGGCTCGGAAGGTCGGACGGTGTTCCAAATCATCGCCGCGGGCCACTGAACATCGGCAATGATCTGCTTCACGGGCACGTTGGGGCTGACGCAAAAGACGAGCGTGGATTCGTCGACTGCAAGAAACCCCTTTGGATCATCCAGCGGGGTGATGCCGATGCTCCTAAGCAGTGCGATATCGACCTCGTCGTATGCAGGATCCTGCGCAAAACATCTTATCTCCATGTTCCTGTTGCCTTGTCTCGCCTTCAGTGCTTGCACCATGGTTGCAACGGCAGCATGCTGGGTGTGGGAGCGTGCCGCGCTGCGGGAGTTCAAGCGGCCAAGGGTGCCCAGTCCAAAGCAGACGATCTTGTTGATCGGGCGAGAAAGCCTCAGAGTGGTAAGTTGCTTCTGCAGAGCCTCGCAGGCCTCACTAGTCTGCCATACTTCGCGCTGTTTGTCAAATGCCTTGCGTACTTCATACAGAGGATTCTCGGGTCTCTTATCGTTTCTGGTGTAGCAGATCGCAACTGGAGGTTGGTCACGAAGGATCTCATCTGGCATGAAAGGGTTGACGGTGGTCATAGCTTGGATGCTACAGTAGGAGATGCGGTATGAGTTCCTGGATCTGTCAGTCATTGCGTCACCTTAGGGCGATCAGCAGGTCTTACGCCCAATCTGCACACCAGGCAGGAACCTTGAGGCTATATTTCTGAGGAACGCCATCCAGGTCTGCAATGTGCACCTCCTCACGTCCCTGATCGATCTGACGACTGAGGTCTTGAAGAATGTCGCGAGCGAAGAGAGGCTGTCCCAAGGCATACGCCTTGAGAATATGGCCAACCTTCTCTTCTGCGGTAACCCGCTGTTCCCCCTCCATTGCCATAGTGCTGGTTAACGAGGACATAGTGGATGGGAGAAGAAAAATTCTCTACGTCAGTCTGATTTCTTGTTGAGAGGGCGGTGGGAAACAATCACTCTTGACCGTGAATATCTTAGTCTTCACTCACTGTCCTGAAGAACAATGATAGCAGTTGGTCTGGCTGCCTGAGACTCGTTTAAATAACCAACCCGTTCGTCCACAAAGGTATGGTTTGCAGGCTTTATCTTCTGTAGCTCAAAAATAGCCATGTTCCTTGATGTTGGATTGATCAGATCACGCTCCAGGAGATGTTTGCTCCTCTCTATTTTCTTACTATCTGGGCTACACAGGACCCTTAGTCCCTTACTCGCATGGGCCTCACCGCCATCGTCGACTCAACGATGCAGGCTGTGTACTCTCATTCCAACAGGCTAATCGTGTCACAGCATCCTCATTGGTCCGGGACGAGAAGACCATCCTATTAATATCCGAAAATGTGTGATTTACCTGGAAGGAAACCAACTAATCTACTATATTGCTGGGTAGTATTAGGGATATTTTTATCCCAATGAACCAACTGTTGGTTGGTTTCATGCAAATCAACGGTGATTCCTGTCGATCTTCCTCTGGCCCTTTTCGTACATTTGGATTCTGGATGCACGCTAATCCTTCATGCATGTCATATCCAGACTTGCCATAGCCCCCATAACCACCAACGACGTCCAGCAAATCCTCCTCATCCGATTGGGCTTGTCTCCCATCTATTAAGGGTCAAAAATCCGGCCCTCATTCATCTCGCCAGCCACGGAAATAGGAGCTGGACCATCCTCCGACGTGGCGAGCCGATGAGTTGGCAGCGAACATGTGGTGCAGTACCTCGGCGATTTTGGCTACACGCCAGCGCATTTTGAGTTTCATTGGCCTTGTCAATCGTTTCAGCCCCTGCATATGACACATCGTGGCATTTGCTTATGAATATTGGGCTGCGTGACTGAAGGATTGGACGTGTCTTCATCTACGCGTGCCTTCTTCCTATATATGTGTGCCTGGTCATCGCCCCGGAGACGCTTCATTTGTCAAAGTGCCAGTATCTCGCTTATTTGGGTATCGGTAGGGCTTTAATAGTGCCTTCGGAAGATAAGGATCAGGACTGCTCATGAGTGGTTCAATCAGCACAAGTCTCGCGCCATCGGGTTCCTGGCTGACCCGAGCGTCCGGAACCAGTGCCGTTTAGGGATATTTCAGGCACTGGCAATATGTCCTTGCTTGCATGTGTTGAGACCCCCAAGTCGAATTTCTCGCCGTCGACTCTTAGACACGTCGAGAATGCAAACCTATTCATTTCTTACGGTGATTGTGACGTCACTACTACCTGAGCATCTGCCTAAAGAACCATGTCGCTAGTTTGAAAGGGGAACATCTAAGCGTGAAGGTATACAGAGGTTTCTGCATTTGTGGCAACATGGCTCAGAGCGCGGCAATGACTCCTAGATATCTGGTAAACGTCTTCAGGTAGCCTGCAGAGCATGTAATTGGTTTCGTGGACCAGAATCATATTCCAGTCAATATAAGCAACATGTGAAAGTCGTAATGATTTTCGCTAGGTTGAAATATGGTTTATCAAGCCATCTAAGTCGTCTTAGTGGCAGTTCAATGTAGCCGGAATCAAGCTTATTGTTTAGACGAGCGTCAGGTGAGAGAATGGGTCTGGTGTCGCAGTCACTGTCGATAACATAAAACGATTCTGTTCGTCACTGACCAAATCCTGAAGACTCCAGTTCACATTATCTCAAGTCTGAGATACCGGCCTTTGTCCACCAAAAGTCACACTCTTTTCGACTCCATTCGTCCTCCACCAGCTGCGCCGCAACACCCGTACCACTCCCACCAGCACGTTCATCATTCCCTTCCCCAAAGACCATAATTTCGCGTCCAGATGACACCGAGGCGTCGTAGGGCTTCCACACTGTGCGATTCTCATACCTTCCCCCAACCGCATTTGGATCCCCAGTCACAATAAACGAGGTAATGTACGCATGAAACATCCCCGCGATCTCCTCCTGACTCCTCGAAATCCCTCGCACCTCCGGATTAAACGTCTCATATGCCATCTGATCACCGTGGTTCGCGCCCCCCTGGACCGTCTTATTCAGCGCCCACCGATACAGAAAAACGGGCTCTTCCTGTCCTGCCGAGGCGAGAGCTGCCGTCTGCCTCACCGGACAGGCATACGCGTAATGACCATACGCGGCTTCCACGCGCTTATACTGCGGACCTACTGGTATGTTTCTAGTTTCGAGATATGGGGAGGACGGATCCATCGCGGGGTCTGGGTAGAGCTCGTCGATGGCTTTGATATCCTTGTCCGAGTAGGCGGGGAGTAAGGTGCGGAAGAAGCTCGTGAATTCGGAGGACTGCGACATCGCGGACGGGACGTAGTATGTTCCTTCGTTTGTGTTGAAGCCGGTCAGGATTGGCAGTCTGTTCCATTTCCCCGAGTGCCAGGCGTCGATTGGGCGGCGCTTGATCAGGTCGCCGTCGATGACGGGTTGGAAGGCCCAGCGGACGGAGGGGTTGTATCGGTCGAAGATGGTGAAGGAGGCGTTGATGACTGTTGATGAGGGTTGACTGCGCAGGCAGTTCATTATGTCCGATTGCGGTCTATCGGCGCAGCCAGCTTCTGTGATGAATTCTTGGAATTGGGTTTCGTGCAGTTGGCCGTTGTATGGGTGTACGGCGCGGGAGGTTGCTGCGCCAGACTCGATGACGGCTCGGTGGAAGAGGGAGGTGCCGAGGTCGTAGTTCATGATATGGTGTGCGATCTACGATTGACATCAGTGTTGGTCTTCGAATATCTCCCCAGGCAACATACTGAGTGTGCTCCTGCGGACAGGCCGACGAGCGTCACTTGTGAGGGGTCCCCTTCAAACGCTTCGATATTCTCCTGGACCCATTTGAACGCAAGGATCTGGTCATGCAGCCCGAGATTGAGTATGCCCTCCTGGGCCGACACTGTCGAAGGAAGGAATCCCAGCGCGCCGATACTAGAACGATCCTCAGCTGAGTCCGTTGGGATCACTTGCACGACAACTCACCGATAGTTGAAGCTTACTGCAACGAATGGTTTCTCAGACCATCCCACCATTGATGCAGTGTTATGCATTGAAGCTTTTCTAGTCAGACTTGTCCATATTGGTTTGAGTGACTCACCTGTGCCACGGTTGTATGCCCCGCCATGCACGTACACTGCTACAGGTAATTTGCCTTTTACTCCATGAGGACGGAAGACGTTTACTGTCAGGCAATCCTCCGAACTGGCAGCATCACCAGGAACTTTCAACAGCTGTTTACCAGGGCATCTGCTTGTTCAGCATCCATACTGGATTCGATAACGATAGATCCTTACCGTGGACCGAACCGACTCGCGTCGATAGTTTCGTTCGAAGATCCCACTGCGACGGCTCTGCGGAATCTCCTGTCTCCAGTCGGGGGTAGGGCATAAGGAATCCCTCGGAATGCATCAACTGGGTGTCGCAGCGAGTCGGACAATCTCGTTCCCACGACGATACCTTGGCGGAGTTGGGTGGTTGGTCGAGTGATAAGTTTATCCAGTACAGCGTCCGGAAGCCATGACGGAACCCGGCTCTGTATTGAGAAAGGTAGATAACCCTGCTGTAGGTACTGTAGGAATAAATGCAGGATGACAGGCAAAGCAGCCAGGAGTACGAGCCTGTGGGAGGGAAACATGTTGTCGGCAGTCCATCAAAATTCAGAGACAGATGACCCCTTCAATATCAATCTCTTATTGATTCAGCAGCGCAACTGCTACGATATCCGCGTCAGCACTGTCGCTCTCTACTTCCCCGCTTTGATGCTGATAGTGAGGCCCACGATGCTCGACTCCTCAGGAACTACCCCACACGGCTTATCTTTGACAGCACTATTAGCGTCTCCAACAGCGGTCATGATACGAGGTCGATCAGTGGGGTTATCATTCCTTCCTTTCAAGAATTTGATGCCGTAGATAAGGTAAAGTTGCGGACAACGTCCGTCTTTGGCCCCCCTGCAAGTCCTTTTCATCATGTTCATTGGTGGTTGCCACCATATCGGTATCGGGCGGCCTATGGTCGACTAGATTTCCACTTGGAGTATCAATATGCTGTAGCAGATAGAGTTGTCACTGATCCTCCTGGCAAGGCTGGCAGGGGACTCCTAAAGCTTAAAGACAGGCGTTATCATGCACTCAACCCCTGTCCTTCCAAGCGGGGTTACTTGATATAAGTACAAAGGGAGTGCAGCGGACAGCTACCGAGACAAAGTACGCGTTTCAGAGTATACCGGATATCATCAAAATGCTGCTTGAGGAGAAGAAGACTGACGAGGTCAAGACCGACACAATCCTTGCAACCGTCTCCGGCAAGGAGGATGACATTGAGAATGGTCAAATTTCGTCGCTGGACGAGGCGGAACTTTTTCTGCGAGAGCATGGCATTTCACACTCCCAGCTTCAGGAGATGCTCGATGACCCCGCCAAATCCCGGAGGATTATAAGGCGAGTTGATTTGATTCTTCTGCCTCTTCTCTGTGGTACATATGCCTTACAATATATCGATAAGCAGGTGAGTTTTCCGTCCGCGATCCAAGAGACTACTAAACGGTATAGGCTCTCAGCTACAGTGCAGTCTTTGATCTTTTTCAAGACGCTCACATCAATAGTAATGAGTATAGCTGGCTGGCCAGCATTTTTTACTTTGGTATTCTTCCTCGCCCTCAGCGGTCACCCTCAGGCTGATCATACAGGTTATCTCTTCTGGGAGTATCCTGCGAATTTGATTGCCCAGCGACTTCCTGTCGGAACTGTCATCTCATGCTTTGTGTAGGCTTGGCCCCTTAATGTCAATTGTCTATTTGGCACTGACATTTTGCTAGTATTGCATGGGGAGCCATTCTCATGATAACGGCCGCCTGCCACAATTTCACCGGCATGGCTATCTGCCGCTTTCTTCTCGGTTGCTTTGAAGGTATTATCCTTGATATGCGTCTGTCTACTCTGGCAGCCGCAATAGCTAACGTCTTAGCCCCGATTACCCCCTGCTTCATGATGATTGTTGCCATGTGGTATCTCCGGCAGGAACAGCCCTTTCGAGCTGGGTGTTTCTACTGCTGCAATGGCGTTGGATCAATGGTGGGCAGCTCTCCCTGGATTTTCTATAGCATATCTGACAGTCCTAGCTCGGTGGCTTGATAAGCTTCGCTATCGGCCAGCTAAACGGGTTTCCTGTCTGGAGAGCAGTGTTCCTCATCTGTGGCGGCGTGACGGTGCTCTGGGGAGGAATTTTATTGATTTTTCTTCCAAACAGCATTCTCTCCGCCAAGCGGTTCACAATCGAGGAAAAGATACTGCTTATTGGAAGAGGAAAGCAGAACCAGACGGTGTGCCACTCTCCTCAGTGTGCGGTGCACAGCTGTTAACTATCTTTCCAGGGCATTCTCAACCGCTCGATAAAGTGGTACCAGATCCGAGAGGCTCTCATCGATCCCCAAGTCTGGCTCGCGTTCCTTTTTGTGTTGTTCAATGAGACCTGTAACGGAGGCGTGGCTAATGTACGTCTCCCTTCTGCATACCGAGATTCGTGCTCATATCCGCAGTTTGGCAAACTTATCATCAAAGGACTGGTCTCCAGCCCTCTCCTGGCAACAGCCCTAGGCATTCCACAAGGAGCCTTCCAGGTCTTGTTCATCCTTTCAGGGACCTACCTCTCCTCGCGATTCAAGAACATCCGCACGATCATCATGGCCATCTACCTCATACCCACAGTGATAGGCGTGTGTCTCCTCTGGCAGCTGCCCCGAACCAATCGCTACGGGGTCCTCTTCGGCTACTACATCGTAAGTCACCGACCCCTTGCCCGAGTGCGAGTGTACTGACCACGCAGATCGGCTCATACGTCACCTCCCTCGTCCTCTCCCTCCAAATGCCCTCGAGCAACACAGGCGGCTACACCAAACGAGTCACCGCAACAGCCCTCGTCTTCCTCGCATACTGCGTGGGGAACATCATCGGCCCGCATGCCTTTCTGGCTGAGGAAGCGCCCGTCTACCAGACCGGATGCAAGCTCATTCTGGCGTGTGTGTTGGGCCAGATAGCGTGCACGGCTGCCTTGCGGGTGTTGTTGATCAGACGGAATAAGCGGCGAGATGCGGAGGGCGGGGCCGCGCCGGAGGGAGACGCAGATGAGCAGGTTCTGGCGGATTTGACGGATTTCGAGGTATGTATGTTGCTTGTGAGCTGTGGTGCAGTTGCTGATGGTGGTAGAATCCTCGCTTTCGATATGTTTTGTAGCTTCTGCCTACGGACAGGACGGGGTGAGGAGCGGTATCTGGATTCTTCATTTCTCACACGATGTTTGAAGTTCGCTGCTCGGCTGTTGCGGCTGGGTAGATGTATGCGAGGTCATATCCTATGACTATATCTCACGTCTGTATCTATCCTGCAGCCTAACCATTCTCACTGTAAATGGTCACCTTCCAGCAACACGCCAGCCCTCACTAGTTATCACTCACCTTGTCACCTTGATATAAAGTAGCTTCTTCACCTCATCATACAACAACCAACTAACAAATTGGTGCTGGAGGCGTTGGTTCCAGCCTGGTTGGGGGTAGATAGAGCCTAAGAATTTGCTTGATTTTGGTTTCAGGTACGTGGATACTGATTAAGACTTGAAACGGCAGTGCTCTATGATAACAACAAAAACAAGATATGAAAATAGCAGACATGCCAATCTCCACAGTTGTCCGTGCTAAACTCCGTACTCCATACCGCTGATGCGAGCTGGGACAGGCTAATTCCGGACGTAGTCGACAGTAAGCTCGGTATCGCTCACAACAGTCGTGTGCGTCAAAATCTTCCCATTCTGCTCCATATCGATGAGCGTAGCATTGCTAAGCCCATACGACTTCCCGCCAGCCTTCGCCTCGGCCCCGGTAAACACCACGCTTCCAAAATCAGCCAGCGGCACCATCGTCGCCCCGGACTGAAAGTCCTCGACGATCCACTCCGCATTCTGGCCCGCCAGCGTGGCAGTCGGCGACGGCGCCTTCAGCGTCGTCGACACCGTCTTCCCGCTAGTCTGGTTCTCGATGATGGCGACGCCCTCGCTGGGCGACGTGCTCTCCACCTTGACGACGACGACGTCCCCGCGGTTGACCGCGAGGTTGAAGCCGTGCGCGTTGTCCGGGTACCACTCGTACCACGCGTCGTAGCTGTGCGTCCCGTCGGCGTCGACGTAGAAGTCCACGCCCGTTTGCAGGATCGCGTTCGCGTACGTGTCGCCGTCGATGCCCACCCAGGCCGAGCTGGCTTGCTGGCCTGTCACGCCGGCGACCGCCGTCGCTTCGGGGACGGTGATGGTCGCTGACACGGCGGTGTAGCTTGCCGAGGGGGGTGGCTGCTCGAGCACGGCGCCGGACCAGTTCTTGCTGTAGGAGACTTTGGTCTCGGTGGCTCGGTGCTCTGCGCTGGGGTCCGCGTCAGCAGGGCTAGCTCCGGCGCCGTCCATGGGGTGGGACTGCCGGGCTAGGGCCCGGGCGCGCATACGCTCAAGGGACCGGCTGCTTGGGGCAGACAGGGCGCTGCCGGCCAGCAGGGTGGCGGCGAGGATGCTGGTTTGGAACTTCATGTCGTAGGGAGGTAGGGTGGTCACTCAAGAGGGCAAACGATGCTCTTTCCCGTCGTAGTCCGCTGCGGGTGTGGCTTTCTGGCTCTTTAATACCCTGGAGGACAGAGTCGCATGCGGTTGGGCCGGTCCAGCAGGCCGGAAGTAATCTCATTAGATCCCTGCCAAACTGACCTGAAGAGTACCCGCAAGCATTCCGAAGCTACTCCAAATGATCATGTCACGGACCGAATCAAGTATGATCGACTACCGGGACGGGATGAGACTTCGGGTTCAGTATCTGCTTTATCCGCGTGCATCACCTCGCAATTGGTCAGACCGGATCAGCGCTGCATGTCCGCTGCAAGGTAAACAGTCAACATTGTCTGTTGACTTGATCCATTGCCCGAGTCGCCTCGTTTCCCGTCAGCATTCTGCCCACTTTACGGACATTGTATACACGGTCATGCGGGCGGACGATCAGAAGCAAATTGTCAATAAACCTCAATATTCTCATCCTCGTGCCCAGCGATGAAAATAATGACGCCATGCAAGTGCCTATGCCTTGTGACAGTCCACGTAAACTGACGAGAGCATCAGGTACCAAACCCACTGAAAGCGGGTTGGCCGCATTCCTCCCGCCGCAAGGGGTATTCGCAACTGCAAGCATTGAAGCATGCCTTTCCCGGCTGATCCTGTCCTGTGGACTCTGTATCAGGCATCCCTTGCTGAAGAATGCAAGGTCCATATCGCATGGCCGACCGAAAACGTCCCACCAATGAACCCTTGCTCCGAGGATGGACAGATGGGCGTCCAGGCCGATGATATTCCACTTCGCCAGTTTAAGGTTCGCTCCCATGACGGGATGACGTCCTTGGTACTTGACTGAAGCTTGCTGGAGTAGATTCCGCCGTAGAGTGTTCCTTGTAGCTGAGAGATGATCAGTAGCGGTCATCATGTGTCCTGCATAGGTATCAGGGATGTTCCGAAACGTTCGACATGGCCTGGATGACAGTCAAATGCAGTAAAAAATAACAACAATTCTCTAATTAAGTTGTTGAGTCGGAGTATGAGGACTGTATATTGTATATGCTAGTTTTAGCGCTTCAAAGGTCTATCAAAAACGACAAAACTTACCCCAACCAGAAACATCCGCATGCCTTAAATCAATAGCAAACCAAAAATCACATAGGAAGCTGCGCCATCTCCTGTAAACTCCAATGCCTCCGCATATTCTCCGCCGCCAGCGTCCTCACCTCCTCATCCAGATGCTTCCACAGCACATCCCCAAATGCATCCATAAGCCGTTTCATCTCTTCCCGCTGGAGGTCAACCTCGCCGCTCAGGCACTTCGTCAAATACGCCTCCAACTGCTCCAGACCCTTGTGGATCTGCTTATGCTGCGTGAGGAGCGCCAGCTCGCGCCGGAACTCGGGCATCCGTTTCGCGAGCACGGGGAAGATGTGCTGCTCTTCGATGGAGTGGTGGAAGTCGAGCTGCGAGCAGAAGCCAAGCCCGGCTATGATGAGTTGGCGCGGGGAAAGCCCGTTGGGCTTTTTGTCTGTGCTGGTGCAGGCGTCTTGGAGTTGGTTCCAGGTTAGGCGGAAGTTGTTGTGCTGTGGGTGCTGTTAGTGAGGTAGAATGATGGGGTAAGGGCGCGTACGAAGTGGTCCATATGCTCCGCCATTCGGTTGTAGGTTTGAAAGTCTTTTGGTGAGAGGGGGGGTAGCGGTTCATTGTTTCCGTCTGGTTGACTGGTGGAGTCCGGACATGCTTGATGGTTCTTCTGGCTCATTACTGAGAATGATTGATACCGGGTTCCTACAGGAAAAATTGCTCTGTGGGCACAGACACGTCGCACTGAACTCGGGTGGAGAAAGGATGGGCTCTGGAGGGTTCGAAGCCTTTTCATCGACGTCAAGGGATCTAATTGAGCGTGTAGCCGATGCGCAGTCTATATATGTCGTAGAATAGAGCTTTCCTTCCTGCGCTGTATACCTTATCTCAGAGGTGGGGATGGGAGAGGTCGCTGCGAATCAGAATTACTGGCAAACAAGTAGCGCGCATTACAAATACCTGACAAATAAACCTATTTCATATCGCAGGAAGACATGGAAAAGGTCCTATGCTACAGCGAAGACGAGAGCGTCTCGCCGCTCAGACTACGACTTTTACAGAGACCACAGAGGACAAAGTATCCAATTATCGAAGCGTACATTCAGAATGCTAAACTATATTAATTACAAGGAATGTCCCAGATCCTCAATGGATGTTTGCCATCTCAACGTCAGGAAAACTGAACATTGCAAGACACACATCTAGTACGTCACTGGTCAAAGAGATAAATCTCCACTCAATATCAGCACTTCTTCGGCACAACCACAGTCATGAAAGGGCTGGATTGCAATTTGACATCCGTGCTAGGCAAGGTCGAGTAGACCAACCGGCTGGCGCAGCCACAGCTAGACATTGTGGAACGATGAAGAGAAATTAAAGGGTAGCATTAGGTAGAAGTATCTTTGCAAGACTGACGTGGTAAGTAACAGAAACACAAGTCGTCTGCAGGGTCAGTAAGAATCTGGATATTAAAACAGCTTAGGTGAAGGTCGTAACTCCGTAGCAGTAATACAAGGCTATAGCTCTCGGTCACGCAGCTGCTTGGGTGGACGGAAGTTCCCCTTGCGGAGTTCCTGCCACGCAAGATCGAAGCGCGCACCAAAGTACCAAGCGAATGCAATCTGGTGGTTGTTAGCAAGTAACGGCAATGGCGAGGAGCGACGAGACGTACCATTACAATAGAAACAAAGAGAACAATCACTCCCATCAGAGCCATCATAAAGAGGACGTCTTTGCGGGTTTCGGCCTCCAGTCTGGCCTTCTCCTGTTCAGCTTCAGACTTTTGGCCCAAGACACGCCGGTTGGCCGCTTCGGCCGATTGCGACGGGAAGATGGTCTCGATGAATTTTTCAATCTGCGACTGTTAATATTTGGACAAACGGTGATGAATGGAGGACACGCACCTTCGCACACGCAATGCCGATCTGGAGGAAATTGGGATCCTTCGGGGTGTTCTTCTTGTGAATCTCACGAGCGTATCTACGGAAGGCCTCGTAGAGGATCCGCAGGTTCTGCGTCGACTCCATCATCAACTGGCAAGCCTCGCCCTTCTTGATTTTGATGTTACGTTCAAAAATCGCCGGGTTGCGGAAGCAAAGGGAAAGGGTAGCAATGGCCATGGACTGAGGGATGGCGCAAAAGTTGAAGACGCTCTGCTCGCGCAGACCAGCAAGGTAGAAGAGACACTCCTCCGCATGTTCCAATGCGTTGAGAACCATCTCGGAGCTGCAGTTCAGTGCAGCCTCACGGTTCTCCGGCTTGAAGAGATCCTCAAAGACGGTGACGTGCTTGGACCAAATTTCTTTTGGCCAGAACTGTCGACCGTCGTCGAAATCCTCACGGATATCGCGAATGATGTTGGTCTTCTGCAAGAAAAGACCCATGGACTTGTACAACTCGGTACGCTTGAGCAAGGCGGGGTTACCGAACTCGGCCTCAACAAAGAGGCGAGTCGACCCTTCTCCGACCAGGCCAGCAACATACCAGCAATACAGGTCGTATTCCTCGACCGTCTTGACGCTTGCATCGTCCAGCGCAGCCTTGCGACAATAATCAGCCATACCATTGCCCATCTTGCCCGTGATATCCTTGATAACCGCCTTGTAGGCAGGCTTCAAATTCTTGAACTCGGCGATGACATTGTGAAACTGAACCAGCAGCTCACGGTCCTTCTCTTCAGGCCGGTTACCAGTGAAGGTCCAGCCATCCTGCTCGAGGATGTCTTCGAATCCACGAAGAAGCGGTTCCTTGGTCTCCAAAGGAATCGAGGTGTCATCCTCGATGGTGTCCAGCCCACGGAGTGTCAGGTAGAAAACGCACATGGGAAGCAAGAGCTCGGGGTGAAGCTCCTTGATCACCGCGCTGAAGCTCCGGCTCGTTAGATCCAGGAACTTGAAGCATGTCTTCGCTGTTTCTGTTTCTTTGGATTCATCACGTTCATGAACAGGATTGTGCCAGATCTTCCTATCAGCAAGGACGAAAGGGTGTCCGTAAGCAATGGCACATAGACACTAAGGGCAAGGAGAAGTGCTCATAGCTAAGGCCAAGACCAACCATTGAAGTATCGACCTCAATTCTGAGGGATGGAAGAGGTAGTAAAAAGCATTTGCTGCAACGCCCATGGTGAGGTATTTGTAGGGAAGAGGAGGTCACGGAAAAGGAGAGGACGGCAAGGCGGATGTTGGTGAGTGAGAAAAAAAAAAAAAAAATAGTGGGAATGTGGGGAACACAACAAGCGAATCAAAAAGAGCTATTGACACAGTTAAGATGTACAAATAGAGAAGCAAGGAAAGAAGCAGATCTCACTGACAGGGAAGGTGGAGGAGATGATGAGACCTAGGAGGGAAGAAACAAAGAAGAAGAAAAGATGGGAGATTATTACTCCGTTGATCGAAAAGGGGAACGCAGAGTCTGGTAGGTTTGGTTCATATCCAAGGAGTGGCTGAGGAGTGTGAGGGCCTGAGGGCCTGAGGTTGTCAAGGGAATTCGAGGGAAAAGATCGTGTCTTGGCGTTGGCGCACAGCAGGCTCCTATCATTACGCCTGTATTACGGCCCGTCGAGGTCCAGTTTAGTGTCGGTTTCCTGTTATTTACCCCACTGCCTGGTGTGGCTGGTGGTGTTTGTGACAGTACCTTACATATAATACCCCGTCAGATGTTTCCCCCCGCCATGACGAAACTGCTGTCAGAGAGCATCATCAGGCAGATAAAAATATTATTGTCCTCGGTCAGCCAACTAGTCTGGCAGGTTACGATCTGCTTTCCTCCTGATTTTCTCTGGAAAATTCCTCACCATTTGCGACCTCGGGGACGAAACATATCACTATTCTGCTTGGTTGACGGCAAGTCATCATGGTCGCAGACACTACCTACTACGATGCTTTGGGCGTGCCACCCACGGCCACAGAACTCGAGATTAAGAAGGCCTATCGGAAACTGGCCATTGTGACCCATCCTGGTGCGATTTCTCCTATGTCTTCATGAGTTCTTGCTATTGATTCTGACTTCTCGACTAGATAAGAACCCCGGCGATGAGACTGCGCATGTGAGATTTCAGGCGGTGGGTATACTCCAACATATGGAAGTGTAATAAATACTAATCTCTTTCGGTATGATCCAGATTGGAGAAGCCTACCAAGTTCTCAGCAATGAGGAGCTACGAAAGCGTTATGATAAATACGGAAAGGAAGATGCAGTTCCGGGCGGCGGTTTCGGTGAGTTGTTCAGGTGTAATCGAGCTGTCGGACCATACTGATAGGCGATAAAGAGGACCCGGCCGAATTCTTCAGCATGATCTTTGGTGGCAGCGCGTTTGTCGATTTGATTGGTGAAATCTCGTTGATGAAGGACCTGACCGCGACCATGGACATCACCATGCAGGAAATGGAGGAGGAAGAACTGGCGGAAGCCGCGGAGGAGAAACTCAATATCCATGACGAGGAGGTCAAGGCCGCCGCGGCGACAGGGGAAGCCAGCCATGCCGCTGGCACCGCAGCCCCAGCCCCAGCCCCAGCTCCAGCTCCAGCTCCAGCTCCAGCCGCAGAACCATCAGAGAAGCCAGCGCCAACCTCCGGAACGAGTACACCCCGTCGCTACATGGGACAACAGGCTATCATGGACAAGTCGGAAGAGGAGGCTCGGATGGATGCAGCCGGTCTGTCTCAGGAGGAGAAGGAACTGCGCAAGAAGGAGAAAAAGAAGGGTCTGTCTCGGGAACAGCAAGAGCGCCTGGCTGCTTACGAACTGGAGCGAAAGAAGGCTCGTGAGGAGCGGGTCAACACTCTGGCAACCAAGTTGGTCGACAAGCTGAGCGTGTGGACGGAAACCGACAAGGGCCCCGATGTAACCCGTGCCTTTGAGGAGAAGATTCGCCTTGAGGTGGAAAACCTGAAGATGGAATCGTTCGGTCTGGAGATTCTGCATGCCATTGGTGCTACCTACACATCAAAAGCTACCTCGTTCATCAAGTCTCAAAAGTTCCTCGGCATCTCCGGTTTCTTCTCTCGACTGAAGGACAAGGGCACTCTGGCCAAGGAGACCTGGACTACAATCTCGACAGCTATCGATGCGCAGATGACCATGGAGGAGATGGCCAAGCTGGAAGAGAAGGGCGGAGAGGACTGGACCGACGAGAAGAAGGCAGAGTACGAGAAGAAGGTCACCGGCAAGATTCTGGCGGCCGCATGGCGAGGCAGCAAGTTTGAAATTCAGAGCGTGCTGCGCGACGTCTGTGATCAAGTTCTGGGTGACAAGCGCATCAAGTTGGAGAAGCGGCTTGAGCGCGCGCACGCCTTGGTTATTGCCGGCAATATCTATTCAAAGGTAAGCTCTTCCCGTTGGAGCTCTAGCACATCACAGGAAGCTAAATGAAAAATTATAGGCAGAGCGTGATCCCGAAGAAGAAGGAGACTACATGGCCTTTGAGCAGCTCATGGCTGAAGCCATGTCGAAGAAGGGCAAGGACGAGAAGAAAAAGAAGAAGGAAAAGTCGAAGCATGAGCATCACCACCACGAAGAAGAAACCACCGCATAGATACCTAGTCTTGTTTATATCCTTGCCATGAGGCCCGTTCTGCTGAGCTTGTGGGTTACCGCTGTCTATTTACTCTCCTCTATTCGATTCTGTCCTTCGGGTGCTTGGATACGTGCCTTTACGCCTTCATGGCCCGCTCGGGACTTTACATATTTGCACGTACAGTATATTAAATTTTAATGATAGATTGGTGTTGACGGCGAATTGTTTCGTTAGATATCTGTTGGCCGCTTGATCAAGCGACCATTATATATAGCCCATTCAGCCTCGTGATACCAGCTGTTGATTGTCGTGTACATCTCTTGAAGTAGAATTGGCGGTTTGTTTTGTTGACCGTGTCATACATCCAACCACTTAGCCAAAAAGGCGTCCAGACAACCATCTCTAGCTAGTAGGGATGATAGTAGTAGGGTCAACACAGCAGGGAATACAACAGACCGGAAACAGAATCCCATACGATATTTGATTCGGTTATAGTAAGAAAGGCCTGCAATAATATTAAATCCTGGCTATCCTGTGTGTATTCTCCACCGCTGAGACTCTTTGTCCCCCGCGCTCTTCGGCTCTTGGTCTCCCGGGCTGTCAGCATTTCACCGCCAGAAGATCAGAACCTGCTGTTTAGAATTCAAGCCTGATTCTAATCCAACAAGAACCTTCTAGACGACGGTGTATTTCGGCTTGTGATGATGTTTCTGAAGCAGGGATCATGCCACTCCCCATCTTCCAGTTGCTGATAATGCGCAGAGTGAGCACGCGAGCAATTACCCAAATAAGTCAAGGACTATCCGTTACGAACGATCAACATCCGGATCTCCTGGCAACGTAGTCTCCGAGACCCGTATCTGATCCTTGTCCCTCAATGACTTCAACTTGACTGGTGGCCGGCAACACGCTACTCACTAAACGAAGCTTCGTCGGCGCCACTAGAGCGTAGGGCGAGATACGTGCCCTCCGACTGGTGATACCCCCTCAGCCCCTCGCGTACAATGCTACCTCGGAGTTGATCCCTGTTACTCCATTCAAAAACCGATATGCTGATACCAGGCCATCTCTAACGCTCTGCACTTCCGTACTCTGTGGATTGTACGATGTCCTGGCCGACAGAAGCGCAACCCCGCATATGGCCTATCCAGTCCCACCATGGGCCGACGCACGCATATAAACAGGCATAGCTGCCGGATTTGCAATCATGATAGGGCAGTACGGAGTAGACTGCTACTGCGACAACTTGACCCCCATGCTTCAATTCCTTCGTTCCCCTGTTTTGGCATTCGCCTTTCTGGCGGCCGCGGGAGGAGTCTCTGCTGCGCCGACTGCCAGCTGCTCTGCGCATGTATCTGCTCCAACGGGTGCCACATTCGCGTCTGGCTTTGATATCACAACTAGCTGGGGCAACCTCAGTCCATACAAGGATGCGCCGGGGTTCAGTGCGTCAAATGGTGTTCCCCGGCGCTGCGAGCTATCCCAGGTCCATGTCCTGCACCGACATGCCCAGCGATACCCTGTTTCTTTCCGGCTAGATGGCGGGGGCATGGAAGCGTTTGCTCAAAAGGTGAAGAACTATAGCAAACTACACGGCGGCAAAATCGGCAAAGGGCCGCTGGCTTTCCTCAACGAGTGGGAGTATATGCTCGGCGAAGATACCTTGCAGGTCACTGGTGCCGCGACGGAGGCGACCTCTGGGGCCAGTATCTGGGCGAAGTACGGGAGGCTGCTTTATCGCGCCGGACCCGGTGTCGCGGCCTGGGATTCTTCCCTGAATGTATATCCCAACAGGACTGCAAGACCGAAACCGATTTTCAGGACAACGTCGCAGGCTAGGATCTTGGAAAGTGCTCGATGGTGGCTGAGTGAGTGATCCCTCGGAGACTCCGCGTTCTGCCTCCTGCGTCTCTACTGACTGATACAGGCGGCTTCTTTGGCAACACCGGCGCAAACAGCTCCTACGCCGAGTACGACCTCGTCATCATCCCCGAGGGAGACGGTCTCAACAACACTCTCGCCTCAGACCATTCCTGTCCAGGCGATAAATCAGAGGGGTAACACCATCATACCCCCAGCTGCCAGGCCCCGTACTGACCGAGTCCAGCGCTAACTCCGCCACGAAATTAATCCCCAGATTCACCAAGCCCGCTCTATCCCGTCTCTCCCACTTCCTCCCCAAAGACTTCAACCTCACCCCGTTCGACATCACCTCCATGATGAACCTCTGCCCCTACGAAACCGCCGCCCTCGGCTCCTCCCCTTTCTGCTCCCTCTTCACCGAGCAGGAATGGCGCGACTACGCCTACAATGTAGACCTCCAGTTCTACGGGAACTACGGCTTCGGCGCCCCCAGCGGCCGCGCCCAGGGGATCGGGTACGTCCTCGAGCTGGCAGCCAGACTCGCCGGACACCTCATCCCCACCAGCGACACAAGCATCAACTATACCTACGACAATAACGCAGCGCAATTCCCCCTCCACCAGCCCCTGTACATGGACATGTCGCACGACGACGTCACCGTCGCTGTCCTTGCGGCGCTGGGGCTCGAGTACTTCAAGTATGGGGGGCGGGGTCTGCCGGATGTAATTGAGCATGCGCCGGAGCGGACATTCAGACTTAATGAGATTACGCCGTTCGGGGCGCGGTTCGTCTCGGAGGTGTGGACCTGTCCGGATGAGGGGGCGGTGTCGTTTAAAGAGTTGGATGCGACGCTGTATAGGAATCCAGTGGTGGGGGGTACGGACTATATCCGGTTTGTGTTGAATGGGGCGCCGGTGTCGATGGAGGGGTTGGTGGGCTGTGGGCATGCGGAGAACGGGTTCTGTGCTGTGAGGGATTTTCTGGGAGGTGTGCCGAAGTTGAAGGAGGAGGCGATGTATCAGTTTGCTTGTTTTGGGAACTATACGAGCGGGCATCAGGTTGGGGATGGACGGCCAGTGTAGCCGCTTTGATATATATATATATTGCCTGTCGTGATGGAGTCGTACCATGGATGATCCTATTCAGGTACCAGTCAGGCATTCACTGGAGAATCTATGGATCGATGCTGTGCAGATCTCTATGCTGCTCATTATGACCTCAGAATAGCTACTGAAGGACTTCTGTTCCCCTTCCCTTCCACACCTGCTATCTCTCATTCTCCACTCAGGTGTCTCTACTACATCTTTTCACACAATCGTTACCCAGTCACTCGTTCAACATACAAGATGGAGTTCCAGTCTCGCATCGCCCAATACTCCTTTGACGAGATGATGATCGATGATGCAAGCGCATCCCTAGACAGCTGCATGGGCAAGTACCCTTGCGATCTCAATGCATCATTCAACGAGGCACTGGACTCCCCCAGCCCGCCATCCACAGAGGATATATCAGACACAGAGACAGAAGCAGCGACAGAGGTCGTAGGAGAGACAGAGGGCAGAAAGGTGTTGCCCTCCCGCCTAGAAGTCAACTTCACCACGCCCATAGACGGCTTTGACCCATTGCAATGCAGGCTATCCAGGCTTACACACAAAACTCGCCACAGTGTTCTATATTTCCTGTCTCTGTACGGTATTTCCATTCAATATGCCTTGTATCCCACTGAGGAGAGCGGGATTCAGGGCGTACACGACGCTCTACCGGTGGTGCTCCTGGTCGCGAGAGAGGATATGCCAGTGTCAACGTGGAAGAAAGGTGTGAAGCGCGCGTACGAGTATCTTGTGGACGTTGGGGGCTTCCCAGCCATCGAGATACCCGTGTCGGAACAAGAGGCTGGATCCGAAAGTGGAGCAGAAGAGCGGCTGAGCCGCGAATGCAAGGTATATCTTGCAAAGCTAGTTGCTCATGGCTTCTGAAGACTATGGCTGCTTGCCGAGAAAGAAGGTCTCGCTGTCATTTATGGGAAAGGAAAGAGACTGCTTGCCGATTTTGCTCAAGCTATTCAAGAATTTGGCTTGCAGAGAATGTCGCCAACACGCTGCGACGTACCGCGAAGCGCTCTGTTTATCGACCAATGTTTGGTATATCAAGCGTTGCTTGTTGCTTGTGAGGCATGCACTAATTGTATATGGATCTATATCCTGCAACGATGTTAGAAGCCTAAGCATGCCGCCATGTTAGAACAATTTTGCTCATATGAAGAAACCAAATGTATATGGCGGAGAGATGGAAGAGAAGCAATGCAAACAAATGAGTATATCGTCTCGATTAGCTTGCTCTATATCATAAATGCTCCCTCAGTGGACATATCCTAGAGACAATAAACATATCGCGCATCGGGTATCTAACAATATACCGGAGAGTGCAAGCAGCAGGGTAGACAGAGTGACCATGTATCTTCGCTTAAGCAGAGAAAAGTAATGATCAAAGTAGAAGGCTGATGAAGGCGGCTGAAGTGTCAAAAGAGCCACGGCCGTGATAAAGGATAGGAAAGGACCTTAGTACGCCACAAATGCAGTAGATATTGTAGAAATTGGATACGAAATATAAGAGCTGCCAAAAAAAAAAAAAAAAAAAAAGAAAAAAGAAAAGAAAAGAATTGAAAAAAGTGGAAAAGGTGGAAAAGGGGGGAAATAACGAACGGGCCTGCCCGTCAAGGACGTTGTAACAATAAGACCATGTTCAGTGGCCGATAGCCTCATTGTCAAGCATTTCGATTAGAGATTCCAACTCCTGAGATGCCAACAAAGGATCCGGAGGCTCAGCGACAGGACTCAATAGTCCCCGGGCTCTTTCTCCCTCCTCAAGAAGCTCGTCCGGTGAAAGGACTCGTCCGCCAAGCTGTACGTCGTTGACATGCACGCTATATTCGAGAGCCTTCTTGCCTTCTTTGATCAGCTCCTCTGTCCACCCGAGACATCGTTTGAGGCTTTGATTTATTTTTTGACTGTCCGCCAGCAACTCCTGGTGTTTCGCAAGGTCGATGAAGAATCGCTTCTCATCTTTCACTCGATGTCGCGCATCATGCTCAGCGAGCGAATCGGGACTGAGAACGCCCTCGTCCACGGTGGAATCCTCATCGCTATAATCCGACAGTTCCTCTGGAGAGCGAATAGACGAAAGTTCGCTTGCTTCCTCGTCCAATTCGTTGGTTATCGATAACGAAGTTCCGGAGAAGGACCGTGTAGATGGCGCCATAGACAAACGGCCGGAGCGACTCAGACGGCGATATCTTCGCAATTCCGCATTCTGCTTGCGCATCTCCCGTTCCAGAGTACGATTGATCGCAAGCAGAGATGAGTTGCTGATTTCCAAGTCAAGGATTTTTCTCTCAATTCGCGCATTGAGAACGACGTCATTGTTTGCCTGTCCGGTATCCGACTTCACCGGACTCTGTGCAGCTGCCGAAACATGGGTGTCCACCGAAGTCACAGATCCATTGCTCAGAATTCGAGGCCTGAGCCCCGGTATCGACTCAGATGCGGCACATTCCGCGTCTATCGGCGACTCGGCCGTTGATATGATAATCGGGCTTGGCTTTAGGCCTTCCTTGGGATGAACGCCGCTACTGGCGGAATCGAGACTTGACGATTTGAGGTGCCTGACGGCCGGAATAGGTTGTCTTGCGGGAAACGCGCCCGAGAAAGAGCTATGAGCTTGAGAGCTAGCCTCGGAAATATCATCACGCTGTGAGCTGACTTGTGAGGTAGCGTCCGAAAGCCTCGCCGCGGAGTCAGCGAGCTTAGCTGGTCGTAACCGGGGCGAAGCAGCTGGGAGCGCTTTTGGTGCCAACGCAGGACGAGACGAGCCTATCGATCGCCGCTTGACCGTCGGAGCTGTGATATTTGCCTCCTCGCCTTGAGTCTGCTCCTCGTGTTCTCCATTGGCATAGACAAACGTAGCAGGCGAGGACGGTTTGCTTAGTGGTTTGGATCGGATGTCGACATCGGAAGAATTCGGAGACCGCGCATCGTAGGCATGAAAAAACATTCGTGAAGTGGAAGAGTCGGAATAAGAATTCGGCCGCGGAGTATTAGGGTGTTCTGTTGTCAGGGTCTTTGCTCGATTCCCTCTGGACGGTTCCAACCTCCCGTTCGAGCGGGCGGGACTCCGCTCCGTTCTGCATCCCCCTGAGCTTGCAACATGGGCGACACCTGCATGCGAATACTGTATTTGCGGCGAGGACTGTACGCTGGATGGTGCATTGCTCGGGGACGGAAATCCATCGCGTCTGCTATTGCGTGAACCTGATCGAGGCGTGATGTTTGCACTGAGGAAGGAGGCGGTCTCGGCATCGGGGGTCGAAGCGGGGTGTTCAGAGGGGGCGAGTCTCTTGGGAGTGCGATAAACACCGGGATTAGCGAGCTTGGGGGTCAAGGGAGATTTGCTGGTTCGATTGAAGGCAGCACTGAGTGTTGGCGTGAAAGGTTTGGCGAGAGGGCCATTGTTTTGTTTATCGGAGGCCATAGTTACGGGACTTGAGGGGCGGAAAGGAGGAGGACGACTTATGGCATTGCGACGCTCCACGAGGATCTGCAAGCATGGTGGCACTCGGCCAGCAGATAGAGCGACCTCAGTGGTGTGAGTAGTTTGTAGACGATGTGAGGGTCCCAATACCGATAAGCAGTGTGGGAAAAATTATAGATTGAGGGGGTAGATAAATATTGGAGAGGCAAGGGTGACGATAATAATAACAATCTAGCACATCCCCCAAAACAGTCTAGTGCGTCTCGTGCTTTCACCGCAACTGTTGGCGCATTCCTGGCAAGCAAGTCTGAAAATCCCCGATTATTCAGATCGATAATAATGATGATCTGACTGAATCTATCTGGATATCTGTCAGCTGCTTGGGATTCACGTCTTCGGTGAATTGGTGTTATCCAGGTCATGTTTTTCGTGCTCTGGTTATCGTTCCCGCATGGGCTGATCTCCGTCCACCAAGATGGTTACTGGGTCGGACTGCTCAATGACCTCATGAAGAATGTCGATTGACAGGTTTTGAACAGATATTGTTGCTAGGGGTTAGATATCAGACGGTGAGAACGGCAGTTAGCTGAGGATCAGGTTGGACGAGTTGTCAACTATTGTCTAATAGACTAGACTTCTATATGACCAGCAAAGTGGTTGATGCCACAGTTTGCTTTAAGATCAACTGCTTCAGAGATTTCACCCTCTGAAATCATCTTGGTAGGAGATTTGCACCCCTCGTTATAGAAAGCATGCGTGGTGAATGATTAGGGAAGCTGCTGCATGCAAGAGGAGACTACAACCACAATGTTATGGTTCGAGGACATGACGGGATCATTCCCCACCCAGGCTGAAGAAACAACAGCTGCAAAATCAGACCGGCTCCCTGCTTGGCGCTGGACTTCTTATGAGATAGCCTCACGTATCTGTGACATGATCAGAAGCAAGGGGTGGTCAGCGCCGTTCAAACGGCGCCGTCGAACCGATCGGTGTCTACTGGCACACTGATGTGACTCGCATCGGCGGCAGCGACAGCCTTGAATGACCGGTCTAATAGGCTTTAACCTTGCATGACAGTATGATGGGTCTGATACTTTATGGTGGCCCTATGGAAAGGCGTTTTTCTTGCGCGGCTTTGGAATGTGTCATGTAAAGAAAAGACGTCTTTGCTGTGGGTCGTGAGGTTCGTCAGACGACTCTTTTGTCGCCTTTCTTTTTCGTCCCATTACCTTCGGTGTGTTCGATATGACCACTGGAGATTCCTCAGTGGTACACTGGACGGCTTCTTTAATAGTTTCCCTTGATAGGCAATAATCAACGTGATCATTGAATGCTTTATCCTCCGCAACCTGAGGCCTTGAACAGATTGGACAATCCCAGAATTGCGGTTGACTTTCTGACTTGGGAAGTATAGCCGTGTCGCCTCCTTTGTTCGTTTGCTCCGTGTCGGAAATTTCCTGGCTGAGCTGCTCCAGCTCGTTGATGTCGTCTTGCCTTTCCTGGCGTGCAGCTTGCTCGAAAGCTTCCTCAGCACCAATTTGCTGTTCTGTCATTGCATCAGGCTTTCTGCCAGCGACAGAACTCGACTGCGATGCTGCGCCAAAGAAGTTAATATCCACTTTCTTAGTGCTAACCAGGTTGGTACAGCGGAGACCAAGAAGTCGCAGTTTCATGTTCGGTATCTCCTTTTCCAGCTTCGCTAGCATAGGAAGTGAGAATGCGTAAAGGTCCTTGGCGAGAGAGACTGCTCTGGGTGGCTGACATTGTCTGGAAAGCACTTCAAATGTGGCCAGCTTGACCTTGAGAACTAACGTGCGACCTTTGCACTCTGTACGAGCCAGGTCCTTCTCAAGTTCCTGCGCCGTATCCCAGAGTTTCTCTCGGAGTAATTTTTTATCGCCGATTTCATTGAATGTGCGCTCCGTGCCGACACTCTTTCGTTCATAGTTCTCCACGGGCTGAATCTGTGTTCTGCCCAAGCCGAGAAAGCACTGAATCAGGAAGTGGAATGCTTTCTCTCCAAACAATCGGGTCAAAAGGGCACGCTGAGGGTAAATATCACCACATGTCTTTATGCCGATTGCGTCGAGTTCACGTTCAAACACACGGCCGACACCGTTCACTTTCCGGACCGGGAGAGTTCTCATGAACTCCATAATAGCATCTCTCTCATTTGGGACACGGAACTGTCCATTCGGCTTGTTGCGATTGGAACAGATCTTCGCGATCTTCGCGTTGGCCGCGATCCCTGCAGAGACTGAGATCTTCGTGGTTTCCAAGATCTCCGCTCGCATACGGCCAACAGCCTCTTCTGGGTCTAGATTGTTTTCTGTGCAATAAGAAGTGATGTTGAGATATGCCTCATCAATGCTTGCGCTCTCGAAGAGAGGATCGTACTGCGCGAAAATAGCACGAATCTCCTGCGCTTTGGCGGTGTATTTCTCATAGTTCTGAGGAAGGCAAATCAGCTGCGGACAGAGCTTCTTGGCCACAAAGGATGCCATTCCACTGCGACATCCGTACTTTCGAGCCTCGTAGTTACACGTCGTCAGGACTCCCTTTCCGACAGCCATGGGCACCGTTTTGAGTTCAGGCCGGTCAAGCTCTTCAACAGCAGCGAAGAATGCATCACAGTCAACGTGTACCACGTATTGAGACAGATCTCTCGTCAGTTCCAATTCCGCAATCAGCTCGTCGGCCTTTCTCAGGTCATGCGACAGGTCCAGTTTCTCTAGGCGAGCCTTTTCTTTCAATATGCGCTCGATTTTGGCTGTTAAAATCCTATCCCGGGTCTGCTCGTGATGGAAGAATTTGGAGCCCTTAGATGCATCATATATGATCTCAGATACCTTTGTATCTTTAGCTTCTGCTTATTTCAGTATGGAGAACTGCATAGTCTATACCTTTCGCTGGTCAACAGCATCCTGACCCGCCTTCGTCAGAGATGGCCCTAATAAGTGATACTTCAAGGTTTCATCTTTGTCAGACGCCTCTTTCGAAGGTTCCCGACCATTTCCACCAGGCTCCTCATCATTCGATGCCATATTTATCTCAGTGATCTTTGACGGTGATATGAAAGTGGTGTCGCGAGGATTTCCTAACCAGGCAGCTATTGAGACGCCTGAGCACGTGATCTCGCGTTTCAGCCCGTGTTGTTTGACGTGGTTCTCGGCGTCATCAGGTCAGGTATCTCCCTGCATCCTGCCTGCGTCTGCTGCCCCTCATGTGGATATTGGATTCAGAAGGCGATTTCTTAGAGGGTATTCATATTTTTTTATCGCCAACTTTGGTTCCGGTCTTGACTGACTCTTACCTAGGGAAGCGCGTGTGGCTGCGGCCTGGGAAGAAGTATCTCTTCGGTCGGATAAGGCAAGATGGCGGTACGGCCACTCTTCTGGAAGTTCTATACGCAGTACAGCAACATGTATTAACGAAGCATTTTCACAGTTCGGCATGCCATTCAGCATTCTTCGATATCCCGAAAACACATGGTCATTGAGGTGTCACCGGTCAAACCTGGCGATGGAGTACGGTATCCCCTTGCAATCATACTCTCCACCACTCTGCTAATTCGGCGCAGTCGCATATTTACACGAAGTCAGAAATCACCATTCACGACCAGAACTCCAAATGTGGGACCACAGTCGATGGGGAGTCGATAAAAGGTGGAAATAAGAAATTGACTGGAGACGAACATATCGTCAAACTAGGAAGATACCAGCATGCACTGCGGTAAGCACTCCCGCTGAGGTGAAGAGAACAACGGCTCATTTGTGGATTGTGCTCAGGATCAAGTGGCAGCCTACGGTCCTCAGTTTCTCCTTCTCCTCGAAAGAACTCAAAGCGAAGGATCCCCTGGCGCACGTCCGCTCGCGTCTCGAAGATCTGGATATCAAAACAATTATCCCCTATGTTGTCGGTCATACCACGCACGTTGTCCAAAGCAAGCGTAATACGGCCAAAGGTCTACAGGCGCTGGTGAACGGGAAATACATAGTACAGGAATCATACATCGATGCGCTTGTGTATGCTGCAACCCCGAGTGATTTGGAGAATCTGGAGTCATTATCGCCTCTGGAAACCGACTTCGACGCTGCGTGGCCGGACCCGACAGAGCATCTCCCACCTCCGGGGAAAGAAGCCGTCCCTCGGCCCGCTGAGGCATTTGCACCGAGGACCGACAGAATCAACATCTTTGAGGACTATACTTTCGTTTTCTGGGATGGCTCGCAATTCAGCAACCTGCAGGATCCGATCAGCAACGGGCACGGAAAAGCCCTGCTATACCCGCTAGAAAATGGGGTGACTACTGCTGATGAGATTGTCCAGTTTATGAAGAATGCAGCGGGGCAGAAAGGCCTTGGTGGGGAGAGGGATGGTCCTGGAGGGGTAGTCCTTGTCCGATTTCGTTCCAAGGGGGAATGGGAGAACTGGTCAATTGAACTGAGCAATCAAGTCGCTCTAATGACCGATCAGCGAGTTATTGAGCAGAACGAATTCCTTGACGCCATTCTGGCAAATGATGCGTCCTCTCTGTGTCAGCCTTTGCCCGAAACGGAGTCGAGCCCTGAGGTTGGGCGAACGCCAGCATCACAACTCCCAGCGACTCCCAGTGAACACGTCGAGGTGATTGGTGATTCCCAAGCGGTCGAGGAGCCAAGTGAGCCAGCTAGAAAAAAGGTCAAGTCTTCGAAGATTCGGCCCATTAGCAGCAAAGTGAAATCCTTTGACGATGAATTCGATATATCCTCGATTCCCACCTACGCGCAAAACGAACGAGCTGATTTGGTTGATTCACAACTAGTTCAGGACATACCGCCTTCATCCGACCTCCCTTCGCAACAGGCCAGCATTCTCGACAATGAGGAAGATCTAGTTTCCAGTCTCTTGCCCGGTGCTACAGCAATGAAACGTCGGCGAGCCGAGACCGTACAGCGTAGCCTTGGAGAGACTCAAAGCCTTCCTAAAACAGAAGAATCTCGCAAACCCAAACGACAAAAGTTGGACGTACTCGAGGCGGCGCGGCAGCATCGCGAAGCGGAAGAGGACGCCGAGCGCAAGCGCCGTCAAGAGGAAGAGGCATCTCTCCAAGACTCTCTGAGAGATACGGACGTCGAGAAACTCAAAAACCTAGCCATTGTGGAAGAGATGGAAATCAAGCCTCGTCCTGGCGTCGCGGAGGACAGTCGATGGGATGAGCGATGGAATGGACGCAAGAACTTCAAAAAGTTTCGCCGGAAAGGTGAGCCGGGTCGACCTCGGCATCGCATTCAGACAGTTATTGTTCCCTTGGAGGAGGTGACACGGAAGGATTTTGGCATCGGCGATCATTACTGGGTCACCAGCCACGCAACGTCTGATCCTCGACCATCAGAAAGCCAGCGCGAGCGCTCTCTAAGCCGAGACGGGTCGTCTCGTGCCCAGTCCCAGGCCCAGTCTGTTTCTGTGTCTGTGTCTAGGGTCGAGTCTGCGACACCAGCACCTCGAAGTCAGAAACGACTTCGAGAAGAACGTGATTCGGATAGTGATGATGAGCCTCGATTTAGATTTCGTCGCCGGCGGTAACGGCGTTGCAGTTTTCTGTAAAATATATATGGAATCTTGTGAATACAGAGCAGCGAAGGTCTATTATTTTATCTTTTCTTGCTCTATTTCATAGTTGCGGGTTGTTCCTATCACGGAAGAGTCTAGACTAGGCTCAGCTAGAAACTGCGGGTCTACCCACAACAATAGTGGCTCCCTTGACGAATGTACAGTTAGTAGTGAACGGATTGGAGGACGCTCATTTCCCAATCTTCCTGGAAATGAAAAGAGGCTAGAGTTAGAATTGATCAAATTCGTACAGACCCTATGTCACTACTCACTAGATAGCCATCGTAGTTGAGTTGAGAGGAACTCCAGCTCCTTTGGCAGGGCGGGCGGACTGATGTGACTAGTGCGACGATGGATCCTAGGTGATCTAAGGCTGGAACAAAAGTATAGAAGAAATAGAGTTGAATCATCAAAATATTGCTACAAATAATGACTGAATCTTCATAAATTCAGCTCACTATGTATGAGTGATATGACGAGGAGATATATTAAGCAGGGCAATCTTCACCCGCAAGTTACGTAGCATAGTTGAAGGTTTGAAGCGCTGGTTTACATGGGCATTTCCAAGTATCTGGTAATGCCTTCTAGAAGTAAAAATAGGATACTCCACTCGTTGTACTAGTCGTGCTTCATATCAATATTAACAAGCTAATTACATTATTTCAGGAAAATTAGCTTCCTTTCCAGCAGATGATCTATCTTGTCCGCCTTGGATCATGACAGCCTGGGAGAATTCTGCCGGTCACACCCCCATCCCATCTACTTCTCTATGTATCTCTGTCTATCCACCCCTACTGATTGATCTCCCTCCCCCATCCCGGGATTGATCAACTGTCGCGCTGCAAGTATTAATTCTTACTATTACCCTTTTCTGTCTCAAATTTTTCTTCCACCTTTTTTCTTTTTCAGCGCCTGGTTGCGTCCCTTGATTCCCCTTTGCCGTCCGTCTCTTCTTATCTTTCTACGATTCTGCCTCCCTTCTCTTACTCACCTCTTCCTTGACTACATCCTCAAATAATAATCCACGGCTATATCTCCGACGCTGCCCAACGACCTGACTGCTGGATTATTGCTTCCCCTCTTTCTTGTTCTGCATGACTGGTGCAAAGGAAATACTCTCTCGCAGCATTATTGCTGCCATGCCATACATTGGCTGCTCTTGATGCTACCTGCGTTTATCACTTGCTGGTATCCCCTCCTTCTGATCCATTCCTATCCGGTTGTTGCTTCCTTCGAAACCTTCTATCTTTTCTCCGCACAACCTCATGTTTGACACACGGCACATTGTCGACGTTCGCTGACAGATTTACTGATCTCTGCGAGTCTGTAGACCTCCACCATCCTCACGATTTACGACTCTCGCTTTGCCCCTCTGGCGTTGGGTGACTTCCTTGCGCTTCCTCGTCCTGCTCCAAATGTCCTCTGAGTTATTCTCATCCCCATCATCGCCCCACATGATCTCGACCATCCCTCCTCCTCGTCCTATCTCCGTCAACTCCCTGGAGAGAATTCCAGTGATCCCTACCCTTCCATACTCCAAAGAAGCAAGTCGAAGTGCCAGCGCTGGATTTGAGATCCACGATGACCCGATTCCTTCCACCACTGAACCTGGTCAGCCGGACTGCCAGACTACAACTCCTACGGCGGCGGAATTGCAGGTAAAGTCGATTGGATCCCAGCCGTATCGGTCCGGGGTGCGCTTCCATGATCTCCCGGCCGAAGTTCACGAGGCCATTCTTGACCCCCTGTTCGGGGAACGTGTTTCGGCGCTTACAATGGGAGCTCCTGGGAAGTCTGCCCGTAATTGGAGCAGGTGTCTACGTCATCCCAGGAGAAAGGTGCTCTCCGATCTTGCCCTTATATCGCCAGTGTGGAGGGTTCTCGTGCAAGATCGAATCTACAGACATAGTCAGTTGTGCTCTGCCACTGCTCTCTGCTTTTGGCTGCTAACCGCGCGTGACAGTCAAGATCAAGGGCACCACGGACGAATTGGCGGAGAGCGCAAGTTGGTTCAGTGCATATCCCCATCTGGCCAAGTATGTCCGTCAGGTCGAGGTCTGGGTGCCGGTCTGGGGCAACCGGGCAGCCCGGAGTGTCACGGTCTATCAGCCGCGCCGGCGGTTCCATGACGAGCACATAGCCGTGATGGACGTGACAGCTCTTCTGCATGCCACTATGACGTGGGAGAATCCTGATACCTTTCATCCACGAGGCCACACCTTCTACTTGTCCAGTCACAATGCCACCCTGGAGGACATTTTCCACCATGTAAAGGCGTGCTTTCCCGAGGCGCGGATTCTCACCCTTGAAGGGGGTCATTGCAAGAAACCGCCTATGATCCGTCATTTTAGGAACGATCCATACGGCCTGGCTGGAAAAGAACGCCTTCCGGTGTTGCCGAACATACAGATTTTTGTTATGCGAGGAGCGTGGAATATCATGCGAGACTACCAGCACTGGCGCAACCTATCGCAGGCGTTGCCGGGTTTGCAAGAGTGGCACTGTGCGTACGCGAAACCGAAGATCGAAGGCTACGACACCATTGCCAAGATTCTGGTCAATCCGCCGCCCTCGCTCCTTCACCTCAACATCAGCCTGGAAGGCTTTTCGAACAAGGAAAACACGCACTCTTCCTGGTTCAGCGATGGGGCGCAACCGCCACACCTGTGTCGGTTGTTGGGAGAACTCGCCCCCAGACTCATGTCATTGACCTTTACGGGCAAGGTCTGCGCATGTTTTTTTCAGGCAACCAGCAACGCGTCGCCACCTTGGCCGAAAACGTCAAATCTCCGGTACCTAGATCTGGCAGTCAAGACATGCTGCCGTGAAAAGAAGGCGGGCTCGGCCTTTCCATTCTTTGAGGACTTTTCCGGCATCGGGAATATGAACTTCATCCGCTCCTTCGAGAAGCTGGTCGTAGGAGCGGTCCAGAGCCTCGGAGTGCATCCGTCGTTGAATCAGATTCGAATCCGGTTCATCGACCTCGACTCGGCCTGTCCCCTGCTGAATCCGTACTTTCAGCTTTCCGGGAATTTATGCACCGGCCTCTGGAGCGACCGGATCCTGTATGCGTTGAATGAGTTCCGGCCGCAGGCGCGATTCGTCGAGCTAAGAGACGGCATCTACCCGCAGTACGGGCCAAACTCGCAGATCGTCGGGGCCGTTCTGCCTCGCGCGCGGCCCTTGAGTATACATGCCTGCGCGTACAGGATCATCGCGGATGCTGGGAAGCCTTGACCTTGGGATTCTGTCTCGACGATTCATGCGAGGCCAGACTTCCAGTCTTCCAGACTCCCAACGGAGTCGAAGACACGTTGTGGTTCGATCTAACCATACCTGATGCCCGTTAGCCATGTGTTAGAAATTTTGTTCAGAGTACAATACCCTTGCGTTATCTGATGGATGGCGGAATAAGCTTAATGAATCAATGGAATGAAATGAAAGCCCAGTGCCTGGCGGTGTAATACTCATGTCATATGTACCTTACCCACTAATATACATGCCGACACCAGTCATAGAATAAAATTCAAAGTGAGACAGTGCCTACACCCCCCACATCCTCAACAATAATCCCCAGAATCCAAACATTGACCGCAAAGAAAAACAAACTCGCCAGGAACAACCCCGGCACGAAACTCGACAAGCCCAGGAACTCGAGGTTATAGCCTTGTTGGAGCCAGAGGGCCTATATTCGTCAGCATCAGCAGGAGAGTAGAGAGTGAGGCGACACACCTGAGCAACAACCCACAACAGCCCAACCAGGACGCCCTTCCTCGGATTCTTCATCAAAGACGAAGACGGGAGGTAGAACGGGAGGAAGACGAGGTACCAGAGGAAATACTGTGGAGATCAGCATTTGCCTGCATTGGAAGATTGCACAGGGAAGGAGGGAAACGCACCTGACTCGTACAAACCTTGTTAAACGTCACAAACGCAAACGTCTGCGCGAGCATCGTCCCCGCCAGACTCTTCTTCCCCAGGACCAGTGGGATGACGACGACCGCCAGGAGGAGCTGCGGGATGAAAGCGAGGGACTCGAAGGCGGTGCGGGCGCCGCCCGCAGCGGAGAGGTAGAGGAGGGTGCTGTAGGGGGAGAAGTTGTGGCGGTGGTCGATGCGGGTGAGGTGGTGGAGGTAGGTGTGGTGGGCGAAGGGGAGGCCGTAGAGGATGTACATTGAGACGTTGAGGGCGGAGAAGGTGGCCAGGGCGACGAGGGTGAGGTGGATGCGGGCGGGGGTGAGGAAGTTGAGCGCCTTGGATAGGAGGTTCTCATCCTCGTCTTTCTCCCGCGCAGCTGTAGCCGAACCATCCCTCTCCGCATCCAACCACCACAGCACCGCCGGCCCATAAATAAACGGATAGATCTTGAAATGCACGCCCAAGCCCAAAATCACCCCCGCGAGAGTCACCCTCCGACTCAGCACCGCCCACAACAACCCCACAACCAGAACCCCCAGCAACCCCTCCGAGCTGCCGCGGGTACTGATATTCGCAACCATGGGGTTCAGCAACCAGACGCTCGCGTACTTCAGCGCCCGCGGCTGGCTCATCCCATACGCCGACACCAGCACTCTGGCGATCAGCCAGCCCGCGACGACATCCGCGAGCGCAAACAGGGCCTTCCCGAACGAGAAGAAGCCCGGGATGTCCCATGTCGTCGGGAGGAGAAGCCAGGCGAGCAGTGGCGTGTAGCGGTACGTGTCGCGCGCGTAGGGGGATGCGCCGCGCGAGACGTACCGCGCTGCGTCGGTGAAGACGAGGTAGTCGATGTCGGTGTATTTGATGGGCGAGTGGGCGTCTTGCCAGGCGCCGTAGACTAGTAGGACGGCACGCAGGGCGATAGACGCGCCGATGACTTTTGTGGGGGAGCTGAAGAAGCTTGACATGGTGGCTTTGGAGCACCTGCCAGGATGTCCCAGACTTGGATGATGTCCAGGTTGTTGTCTGGATAGACGGTAGGTCGTAGGCGCACA